TGAATCATATTCAAGGTCACAAGGAGCAAATATGTTTAAAATATTTCAACAACTTGTTCTGAATAACCAAAAGGCTCAGGATGTTGATATTTAGTTAGTAGCATATGCTGGGATCAAGGACTACTATGTTTGTTAAAGTGAATGACTTTGACTTATATTCAAGGTCACAGGGGTCAAATTTGTTTAAAATCTTTAAACAACCTCTTATGAATAACCATGGGTCCCAGGATGTTTATACTTTGCAAGTTTCATCCTGAGATGAAAGGCTATACAATGTGTTCAACATAATGACTTTGTTCGACTTTCAATCACAGGGGTGAAATGTTTTGAAAAAAATTAACAGGGTCTTTTGAACAAATTTTAATCATAAATACTGATATTTTGCCTGTAGCTTTATTTTAGATCACTTTAAGGTTACAAGTGTGAGTTTTATACCAGGTGAGCGATGCAGGCCCATTGGGCCTCTTGTTATGAATCTATTTCAGCCAAATCCGACCGTTATTTTCCTTAAGGAGTCTCACTTGATATGTTTATGTAGTATTTGAAAAAAAGACAAAAAATAAAGTTACTTCACCGTGATGCCCCTTTAATAGCACATTGGTTGCAATACCCTATGAATAAATACGTACATAAGATTTAGCTCTACAAATGCTTTGGTTGCTTTATAATACAACACATGTGGACACAAAAATTAAAGTAAATAACTGAGGGTTTTGTTTGTCTAAAAAGCATTGATGGAGCACCACTCAAAAAATCTTCCTCATTTGAGCAATCAATTCGTAATAACTCACCACATTCACTTAATTGGATTGTCAAGTGTCATACTGAAAGTATGAAATTGTGTTGCAATTAAAATCCTTTGTCATAGCTAGTGATAATTGGTATGTATTTAAATGCAGGTTCATAGAATGAGCGTGCAAATTAGATGTAAACGTGTGTCATATATATATGTCTTAGTGACTGCAGCAAGGCTGTACTGTTGTACTGATTACAAATGTGTAGTGTTTATTGACCACAGTTTGGAAGTGGAATACAGAGTACTGAATGTGTTTACTATATAGCTAGGTTGGCAGTTTTATGATTTACAGGATAAAGGTACTCTTGAAATGGTTCTGGCATTTTTTCAAATTTGGCATTGTGTGTGTAAGTGTTTACATATCATTTTAATGGAGGGCCGATCGGCTGAGACGGTTTACAATGATAAGCTTTAGCTAATAAATCTACAGGTTCATATACTCAGAAAAACATACACAAGTGTGGTTGATGCATAGAATAATATAACCTGGGGTTGTAGTGTGTCCTCAGTAATTTCTGACTGATATATCAGCTTCTTAGACCAGGGAGTAATATAGTCTGTCATACATTGTGAGGTATATGGGGGATATGAGAACTGTTCTTGAAGTTGAAGAATTTGGTAGGAGAACTAAGGCCTAATGAGGATTCTGACCCCTAATTCTACACTTTGATATAGGATTCCCATATCCCCCATACCTTCTTAATTTCACTTATTAGTGACCCAAATATGGGTGGTCAAGTGACGCAGTGGAAAGTGCACTTGCCTTTCACCAAGGCGGCCGCGGTTCAGTCCCCCGATCAGAGGTGAAAAGGTATGGGGTCACCTGCCCGACCATGTCGGTTTCCTCCCACATAAAGACCTTGTACATGCTAACATCCAGGCCAACAAGAGAGATTTATATAAGTTGAAATAACTTGTTTCATAATTGTTGTAGAATCAAGTTTATTTATTTATTTATTTAATAAATGACTATGAGATGTCTCCTTAACTAGATAGGTGTGTTAGCTTGTGTTTGTATGGATTGGACAAAAAATATCTTATCATGTTTCTGATTAGAATAATGATGAAGACTAAAATTGCCATGCAAGAGTTGCTTCCCTTTCTGTAAAGCGATCTTTGAAGTACCATATTTATACTGCAATAAGCCATTAGGGCTTCGACATATAATCTCAAGCTTAAAGAATGAAGATGGGCTTATTACAGGACAAGGAAATAACCATTATTAACGTTTCTGTTGAACCATGATACATATTGGTGGGCGTATTACCAGGCATAGCTTATAACCATGTATTGAAGCGTTTAGTGTTCATTAGCACAGTCATCAGTATGGTAAGTTTATTGTTTAGTGATTACCTACATATGAATTTATTTTCTATTCTATGACTGGTTTTCCTTTGCCCAAACAGATAAATTTCACAGTAAGACAGTGATTTATAACTAATAAATTAATTTTAAGTTGGCTACATTTAAGAGAGAGTGGTTCAGAAAAATATGTTTGAACATGTTTTCTACATATATTGACCTAAATGTATAGATCTTTTCAGATTGTAACTCCTATATTCAAAGAAATCAAGTATTGGATACCACTGGAAAGAATGTTCAGCTAACCATTAATTAATACAATGTATAAACAAATAGACAATACACCTACACACTTAATTGAAGATACTAGCCTGTTGTACGCAAACCAACCTAGATAACACTCTGAGATGATGACATTGACAGTTCCTACACTTATCAAGACACTCACAAAGGAAATTGATACCAAGATACTATCAGTTATTTATCAATCCTTTGTTGGGTATTAAATCCTGTTAATCCCATAGATCTGTCAGGTTAAATGATGTTTATACTTTGTAAATATGGGCATTTTTTCTTTACATTTTGGGGATACATTTTAAACCACAAAATGTATTGTTTTGATTCCATTAATTACCCGTATTCCAAGAGAGCGCCCACACCCTACTTCAGAGGCAAGTTTTCATAATTTTGCCCCCCCCCCCCACCCTGTCTACACACAAGTTAGATCCCTTGCCATAGGTGTTACTTATATTTGACTGTCTTTTTTATAGTGTGCAATATAAATATTATAAATGGCCTTGGCAATTTATAAATTGTTTCAATTTCTGTTTGAAAATACTGTTGAAGTTAATGAGAAAAGTGTTTACACTTTAAGTATGATTCCATCGACAGTTCCCCTCGTTAACGTTTGTCACCATTAGGATGGAATCATTCAATATAAATCAACATTAACATTTTAGAGTCAGACTGAAAAATTACTTCTACCTCTGATCAATACCGGTAAACAAGATGATGATTTGGATTATCTGAGGTCAGAGTTTGGAGAATGAAATTAAAAATTCTATGAGTATAATTATGAACATGTATGTATACAGCCACACATGTTTAAGTTGATTGTGTTAGCCAAACATTCCTTTCTCTATTCAACTTGTTATTAAAGCTACCAGTAGTATTCCCATGAACATACCATACATAACAATGATGCGAAGGCATTTATTTTCAGTTGAAACTAATATTTTTGTTTTCATCTTTCAGAAACTGAAGCACATCTGCAATTCAGAGCCAGAAATATTCAAGATGCCTAAAGAATTGCAAGAAAGGTAAAAAAAAAAATATATTCAGAAAATTTCTTTAGTTTAATTAGCATAGGATATTATTTGATATATGATGCTTTCATCTCCTAAACACAGGACATCATGGTTTGTTTGATGTATTTGTCACTGATGGTGGTTTTAACTACACATTTATTATTCAGAGAAAATTATTTATTTCTTCACAAGACCTTCATTGATCTGAAGGCTTTAGCATAATGCTTAAAGTAAATCATAAAACATAAGATAATGCTTGTTATGTCAAAGGAGACCCCATGCATGATCTTCACTGTCATCCTCAAATGTGAGGACAGAATCAAGGACCAGAACATGTCCTGATTAAAACACAACTGGGATTAGTGATCAATACTAATTAAGCCCATAATGTTTTGGCAATGACGAGGCAAGTTTTTCTATTGATTTCCCATAATTGCAGTCAAGGCCTAGAGATTGCCTCTGATGTTAGCCAAACAGGTAGTGATTTAGACGATGAACCGACCAGGTAACTTATAGTGTCCTATGTCTCCCTGGTTTGCATAACACTGGTTATCTCCCCTTCCTGATGCACTGGTGTTGTTTGGGTATTGTTACTGCAGATTCATTGTTCGTCACTATTCAGTGTCACTTTCGAACTAGTTGAAGCAAAACGTGTGAATAAAAGGTCAAGGGGTCAAGCCAATCAATACATCCCCTCCTACAAATGCTGTTCTGTGCCCTTATTATTTGCCCCAGAACTTGTGTTCCATGTAGCATTGCACTGGTGATATATATGAGTGTACCATGTTATCCTTGTATACATGTGCATGTAATAGATACAATTGATGTTAATGGTGATACAATTAATGAAATAAGTCCAGAAAAGTCTTTTTAATTTTCTTTATTTGACATGAAAAGGGTTGTTAAGGGATGTAACTCTGAATGCTGTGAGAGGTTTAAAAAGTCTCTATAGCACGAAAATAGTTCAATGAACTCAACCAGTCAAAATGTAATTAAGTGTAAATTGTCATTCTGTGATATGATGTTTTAATATTTAATTCTGATTTCACTCTCCCAAAGACCTTACACAAGGAAGAAGTAAGCTTGCCTACATTTCTGTGTCTAAATCCCTTTAGTATAGATTCTATACCTACCCCATCTGTCAGCACCCAAGTCTCTAGTCTTTTAGTACATTTTGTATTGATTTCTGCCAGTCTGACTGCTGTTCAAAAGTCCCTTACCCAGTCTTTTATGAATCATTGCACAATTTTTGTGCAAGTTCATGTTAAACAGACAATTCTATATAAGCTCATGTTCAAAACAATTCCATCAAAAATTTCAATTGATTAAATATGCATTTGTTTAAAAATTGATTATGAAAAATTAGAACCACATGTACTGGTACGAAAAAGAATTTAGATATTATAAAACATTCTGGACTCTTCACATTACTTGTTGTTATGTGTTCATTCTGTTGTTCGGCACCTGAAATTATTTGGATTTGTTTTATTTTTGTGTTTTTGCCTGTTCTTTTCATTTCAGCGCACTTAAAAAAGAATCTTTCTATTCAAAATGTGTGTCCATCAATTAAAATAGAAATGCTGAAATATAGAGTAGTGTATCTACTAGTATAAAACTATCAGCATGGATCAGTCATTTCTTATAAAATCTTAAAACTGTAGTTACCAAGTCGCCAGTGATAAAAGCTGTACTGCAGACAGTCTACTTTCTCTAATAAAGTTACAAGCTTATCTTTCTATAGACCTTAGCGAGTAGGAGGCAGAGTTCTTGTTAGAAATGGATTGATCACATCTTGTGCCATGATATTTCAAGGAAAGAAGGCTACATTTGTTCATATTTATTTAACGTACTTTTTGTAGGAAATGTCCACACAGAAATGATCATTGTAGTCAACCTCACCTGTTGTCTCCACCTTTTATGTTGTGATCAAATTGAAGTGTGTCTGTCATTGTTTACAAATTGATGATCTTGCTTCTCAGAGTTTAAAATAAATATGAACCAAATAATGTACCGAAGGAACCAAAAAACGGACTAATGTTTTTACAAAAATATAAGCACCATCTTTAGAGCAATATGTAATATATTGGTATTTTATTGTATTTATATGATATACATAACTAATATACACATATGTATCTGATATGTTTGATAAATCTGAGAAATTGTTGTTATGTCATGCCTAGCTGATCATGAAAACATCTGTTCCAGGTCACAATAATAGTTAGCTCTTCAGAGCTAGTGTAATTTTGCCCCTGTATTCAACAGGAAATTTAAATATCTTGTATAGAAAATTGAAAAAAAAAAGTTGTTAAACTGCATAAAACTTACGGGAAAATATATTGATATCTTTCTTCTAATGAATGAAATGGTTGTGACCTGTCATACTTATCCTTGTTTGAACTCTAACAACAGATGGGAACAACTACAAGAGCGAGATGTGGATGGTAGGAGAATGTCAGTTGCCTCCCCTGCCATGGGGCGATGCCCTAGCCAACAGGCGCAGCAGCGTGAGCAGATGGCCAGTGTCCAGAACCAGTCCTTTACTAGGGTAGGCATAAATCAGCAACAAAATGTTTTAAAAAAAATCAGTTATGTAATTCCACATGACTTTCTGGTCTAGTGTTCTCAATGACAATCTTCTGTCCTCGACGTTTATGTTGATTCCAGTTTTCTTACTTTGCTACTTCATTTAAATTCAAACTCTTTGATTCCTATCAATGTAACAAATGAAATTATCAATGTTGAAAATAAAATTACCAAAATAATTCAATTCATCATCAATATAAGTTTATCATACTGTCAATATACATGGAATGTTAAAATAATAAAAAAAGAACATTAATTTGCAGAAACAAAAATTCAAATTATAATCATAGGTCTTATAATCATATCTAGATTAACAGATGTGTATTATATTATATATTACAACAGTACCTATAAGAAATATAATTAATGATTCCTATATATGGAGTAGTTACCATGGTGAGATCTGTCCAACATATGCTCTTAAATATGAATTATTGATGAATGTCACTACTAATTTATCTATATATGAGGTAAGGTTGATATCAATATAAGAAGGCTCCACTAGGTACCTGTAATGATTACCTAGGTGTATTACCAGGTATATGAGTCTTGCCCGTCAAATACGCTTACGTTTTTTTCCATGGGAAAGAATTATAGGAGTTAAGAATCAATCTAATGTAAAGGAATGTTCCCTAACTTAAAAAATGCATTTCCGAGGAAAATCTGAAGTTAGGAATATTTGTGAAATTGGGGTGTGGATTGTATAAAGATTATTGCCATTGAGCTTTTAAAATGTTACTTTTCCTGCTCCAACACTGTCCTGTGTTTCTACTGCTAAATTTTGTCTTATCACCAGGGGCGAGACACACCAACCAACTCTCACAACTGGTCTATGGACAGGTCTTACTCGGAGTATAACGGAGGTAAGTGAACAAAAGTGTCACTAAGCTTATTGATCAGGTTACAAACAGTATCTGCTGGGTATCTCTCAACATCAGACCAGTCCAGGAACCTTATTTAATATGTGCCTCAATAAGCTCTAACTCACAACGGCATTGAATCAAATTTAATGTAAATTCAGCTACATTCTTGTGTCTAAAAACTAAATGAGTACCAAAATGTCCATAACTATCACTTATACTTTATCATGGCAGCTTTATAGATGTTTAAAGATTCGAAACCTGAATGGTACTGGCTATGCTTAGTTAAAATGAAGACTGAGTTATTCAACAAATGTTCACTTTAGACATTGTTTGGCTCTACAGATACATCTCACGGCCTACCCCGGGACAACAGCCTGCGACAGTCTAGCAGCATCAGCAGCAGTCGTAGCAGTTTGTCCTCACGGGGGACCCCCAGAGATCCTGACAGAAACTCACCCAACCCCAGGCTTCCACGACCTCGCAGACACGACCATCCTGACAGGAAACATGGACTCAAGAAAGTGAGTTTCTCCCTTTACAACTGAATGCTTTAAACCTGTTAGTTTCGACAATTTCAAATAGCTTATTGGCCATGATTTTAATTTGGAAAAAGAACAGTTAAATGTCAGTAAACCAGAAATACATTAAAAAGATCTTCTTGCTTTAAACATGCTGTTGAGATCTAATGAATATTTTAAGGATAAAAATTCAGAATTTTATGAAAATTAAATCTCAGTTCAAAGAGTATAATTGTATGATAGAAAAATCAATTGATTTCCTCACTAATTTCTAAACTTCCTGTATACTGCAATGAGGAGAGAAGCTATATAATGTGTTTGTATCTGTAGTTCGTGAAGCGATGGCAGTGGCAGGTCTGGAATGTTACTTGTTATGGAGTTAAATGTTAAACTTCTGCACAACCTCAATCTATTATCACATTACCTAATATTTGACGGCAAAACTAAACCTTTGCAATATTTCCACGAATTCTAAATCTGTCTTCACAATGTTGTGATTTAATGGTCCTCAAAACACATGAAAGCAAAGTAAAAATTTAGGATATTTCGAAACGCTACAACAGACTTGTTTTCTCTGTAATAAAGAAGCACTATTACTGGGTATGTTTATAGTTAGATGTCACTTTGATGTCCTTTTGGATTTTATTTGAGTCTAATATGCTGTCTGTTACACTTGTGATGGTGTTATTTGGTGAGTCCGCACACACTATTTCCCTTAATCGGTGTGTTGATAGATAACACGCTGTATCACTCAGGGGATGACACAAACTCTTCCTAACATGTTGGTCAGGGGATGACACAAACTCTTCCTAACATGTTGGTCAGGGGGTGACACAAACTCTTCCTAACATGTTGGTCAGGGGGTGACACAAACTCTACCTAACATGTTGGTGTGAGAGGTGGTTACGATCGGAGTTATTATAAAACATATCAAGTAAGGTGGAGTGACTTTACGATGATGAAAATATGCAACAGTGCACATGAAATTATTTCGTTGTTCAAAACTGTAAATTTATCATAAATGTCTTACCAGCTTTTTTATTTTGACTTTCAGTAAATAATGATGTACTGAAATGAAGATTTTAAAATGTGCTTTGAGAACGTTTTGAGAAATTTTCATGATTCTGCAACAGGAAAAATGTCACAAAATAGATCATCCTTACTTGAATAATTGTGCTTTTGAAGATTTGTTTTTATTTTTTATGGGTTTAATTTTGGTTTAATTTTGAAGAATTGACAGTACAAGAAAGAACGATTTTATGGAATGATAATCATGAGTTAATAGAAACTATAATAATGTACATGTATAGTATAACATACCAAGAAGATGAATAATACCATACCTGACTTTGATCTCCATCATAGAGACTGGAGAGATGGACTCTACTACCTTACATAAGGTTTATATATTTTGAACCGTGATGATATCTGTCCTCACAGAGACCAGAGGGAGGCAGTATGAGTAGTCTAGGTGACAGTGGTATATCTGAACACGACCACACTAATGGAGGCGGGGCCACCGCCGGCAATCTATCCAGCCTCCCTGGTCCAGGAAAGTTTAAGCAAATGACAAAACAAAGAAATGCTCCTGATGCAGACAGTGGGTTCATTGGCTCAATGGTGGGGTCAGAGGTCAGTCATATGTCTTCACGGCAGCAACAAGAACAAGCCCAACCTTCACTGAGGTTACGACACCCGGCAGATAATGATGAAAGGTGAGACTTTGTTGATTTCTAATTATCTCAAATCTTTATGTTTTAAAATGTATCTTACATGTTAAAGCAGTTTCATTGTGCACAAACAATTCTAATTGTTCCCCTTCACAGAATTTGATTCAAAATGGGAATATATAGTTTTAAACTACCAAGTAATCACATTGTATCTTGTCTTGACAAGACATGCTGAGGATTTTTATATTCCTTAAGTGAATAGATATTTCATATTAGATGTCCATTAAACTATATTGTCTCCAAATTGTGCGTTAACAAATTATTTTCACAATGATTGTAATAACCGATTTAATTATGTAATGATTATACTAGTAATTACGTAGTGCTATTAACTCATTCACCCCTGAAGACACATTTGAACTCTTCCAATTTAGAGGTTGGAATAGTTCATTGTGAAATTTCAGGGGTGAAAGAGTTGCAATATTCTTAAATCATCACTGTGTTGGTGACAGGGGGGAAAACTTTGTCTTTATCAATAAATCATTAGAATCTACATCCAGAAAGACATGATTCACAGTGTGTGTACAGGAATGAAGGCTTTTATCATTTCAGCTCATAATTTAGCTACTGTATCAATTTCATAAACTACATACGGAGATATTCACTGTTGGATCATTCTGTCCAATTACAGACCTAGGTCAAGATCAGGTGATGCAGAAACAGCTTCAATTACAAGTTCAAGGTCAGCCAGGTCTGGGAGGTCGAGGCAAGATGACCGACCTTCTTCACGAGGGTCACTGAGGTCAGGGGGTAGACGTGACATGACTACAGATATGAGCCGAGATTTTACAGATGATAGTTACACCCTGACAGAAAGTGATATGAGCTTTGACTCTTCCCAGCATTCTCGTCGTAGCCGACAACGACCTCGAAGCATGGTGGAGGCCTCGATACAGGAGGAGGAGGAAGGTAAGGCTTGTTGTTACTCTTGGATACAGTCAGCCAGGGAAAGTCTGGAGGAGGAAGGTAAGGCTTATTGTTACTATTGGATACAGTCAGCCAGGGAGAGTCTGGAGGAGGAACGAAAGGCTTGTTGTTACTATTGGTTACAGGCGGCCAGGGAAAGTCTTGAGGAGGAAGGGAAGGCTTGTTGTTACTATTGGTTACAGGCGGCCAGGGAAAGTCTTGAGGAGGAAGGGAAGGCTTGTTGTTACTATTGGTTACAGTCAGCCAGGGAAAGTCTGGAGGAGGAAGGTAGGGCTTGTTCTTACTATTGGATACAGTCAGCCAGGGAGAATCTGGAGGAGGAAGGTAAGGCTTGTTGTTACTATTGGTTACAGGCGGCCAGGGAAAGTCTTGAGGAGGAAGGTAAGGCTTGTTGTTACTATTGGTTACAGGCGGCCAGGGAGAGTCTTGAGGAGGAAGGTAAGGCTTGTTGTTACTCTTGGATACAGTCAGCCAGGGAAAGTCTCAAGGAGGAAGTGTGTTTGGGATATTTAAGATTCATTAATCCAGCCTGTGTTTGTAGATTATCATAATTGACCTCTGTCTCTGGGACAACTGTCAACTCCGTAGGTAAGAGGTAAAGCTTTATTGATTGATGGTAACTGATAATTTCCTATCCCAATAGTCACTTAGTGACTTAATTTGGCCCCCATAAACCCAATATATTTGATGATGAATTGATTACAAAAATATAAATGAAAGTAAACTACCAGGTAATGTGAAGTCAGATCCAGGTTTAACCTTGAGAAAACTGATATGTCCCTCCTTAAAATTGAAGTTTGTGAAGCAGATTGGAACTGGCCATTTGATAAGTATAGAGAGGTTAGTAAGAGTGTCTTTTCAAAAGTTTAAATGTTATACATTTGATTCCGAGTCTGTCCCATCCTGTTGCAATTGTTCAACTGAAAGAACCTTTTCCGGATACAATATGACAGATTTTATCTGGTATCACTTTGGTAGGGTTCAAAGGATCAATTAGTATTCTTATTGGGTTGTCAATGGGCAACAATGAGCACAGCTTCTGGTCAATTTTAAGTCATTAAATGATCAAAAAATAAAAAATGTTAATTTAATAATGATAATTAGAATATCCATGGTAATTGTAAATCAGAATTTAAAATAGGTACCGGTAGATTTTTTCTCTGTTGTTTAGAAAAGGTTGAGGGATCTATCAGTGGTACCCAAACAGAAGTTTACCCTGTGTCTGTTTAACATTTCCTTCACAGGTGGAGATACTTTAAGAACTGAGGAGAATGGCCCCACGGTTAATTTGGGTTGGCTAGCTGACCAGAGGGGTTAGATATTTATACCCATCGTATCTGTGTTGTGTGTGTGGTATTGTGATTTTAGGCTTGTATTTTTATATCCTCCCTATTATTGCCCTTGTATTTTTATATCCACCCCATTATTGCCCTTGTATTCATCCTTCATGTCGCTACATTTTCAGTTTGGGTTTGAACCCGTTTAGTTATGTTTGTGATTATTTACATTTGTTGCCAGTGTTCATATAGAAGTCTATTATTATTATTATATTTGAATCATTATTTATAACCCTATCTATTATTTCCATAAACATCTTGATCTGCATGATAATTCCTTCCCCTATTAAAATTGTTCCCAGCCTAAGATAAAAAAAATGATTGTAGTCTGGTGACTCTGTAGATTGTAAGTTCCTCCTGTTTAATTACATAGATTCATGAATTATCAAACAGTTGTGAATTAAGGAAAGAAATGTAGTGAACCACTGTATTGAAGCCTTAATATGAATCATTTAAGCTGCATTTTTTTACAATTTCTTGTCATCTTCGTTTTGACATGCCAAAAACAAAATTCTAGTAATTTATATTTTCACTTAAATTCATTGCATTATCTTCATGACAACCAACCATCTTACTTAAAGGTAACTTCAGTCTGTGTAGACTCCTATCATTCTGTGATGCTGAGATATATTTACCCCCATTGTACTCATAAAGGTGTATATTGTTATGTTATAAACGTTATATAGTTTTGCTTGCTGCCATACTGAGTTGCTGCGATTTGGTATCCCCATTGTATTTAGCTAGGTTTATATTGTTTGGGATGAGCCTGTTTATGTTATGATCAATTATGTTTAAGTTTACTTGTAATTATTACCAGTATGTTTATTACCAGAATTTAGCTTTGTTTACATACAAAACGTTTTTGATTATTTTTGATCAGACAACAATATTGCCTCGTCAGATGATAAAATAAACTCCACAAAATAAATTCAAGGTCATTATTTTCATGTCAAAATTCAACCATGGGACTTTGTCATAAGCAAAAAAGAAGAAAAATAATTGAACATACTTTGCAATGCTAGAAAATTGGAATCATTTAGATATACGTAAGCCAGGTATGTACTTTGAGTTTCTTGTCATACTACGCCAGGTAATTATGTCTCCCCTTCGAATGAAAGGTCATTATTTTCATGTCAAAATTCAACCATGGGACTTTGTCATAAACAAAAAGAAGAAAAATAATTGAACATACTTTGCAATGCTAGAAAATTGGAATCATTTAGATATACATAAGCCAGGTATGTACTTTGAGTTTCTTGTCATACTACGCTAGGTAATTATGTCTCCCCTTCAAATGAAAGGAGCCATTACCGGGTAAGTTGAAAATGCTCTTCCAGGTTGTTGTTGTTGTTGTTGTTGTTATTCTTCTAATATAATATTATCAGGGCCATAATTTGAAACTGTAAAACATATCTTGATGAAATTTGAAGTAGATGTATACCTGCATCACCAACGAGTATGGTTCCTGACACTTTGGAGTAAGTGACCGCTTTTTACAATACTGGTATATGTCTGACTGTGATGTCCTTTTTCAAAGTTGTATGATGTAATAATTTGTAATATTTGATTTGACATATGACCATATTTAGATTTAACTGATGATACCAGTACCCTTTGACCCTTTTACTCCTGTTATAGGACGCCCTCCAGCTACTCCCAGACAACANGAGGAGGAAGGTAAGGCTTGTTGTTACTATTGGTTACAGGCGGCCAGGGAAAGTCTGGAGGAGGAAGGTAAGGCTTGTTGTTACTATTGGTTACAGGCGGCCAGGGAGAGTCTTGAGGAGGAAGGTAAGGCTTGTTGTTACTCTTGGATACAGTCAGCCAGGGAAAGTCTCAAGGAGGAAGTGTGTTTGGGATATTTAAGATTCATTAATCCAGCCTGTGTTTGTAGATTATCATAATTGACCTCTGTCTCTGGGACAACTGTCAACTCCGTAGGTAAGAGGTAAAGCTTTATTGATTGATGGTAACTGATAATTTCCTATCCCAATAGTCACTTAGTGACTTAATTTGGCCCCCATAAACCCAATATATTTGATGATGAATTGATTACAAAAATATAAATGAAAGTAAACTACCAGGTAATGTGAAGTCAGATCCAGGTTTAACCTTGAGAAAACTGATATGTCCCTCCTTAAAATTGAAGTTTGTGAAGCAGATTGGAACTGGCCATTTGATAAGTATAGAGAGGTTAGTAAGAGTGTCTTTTCAAAAGTTTAAATGTTATACATTTGATTCCGAGTCTGTCCCATCCTGTTGCAATTGTTCAACTGAAAGAACCTTTTCCGGATACAATATGACAGATTTTATCTGGTATCACTTTGGTAGGGTTCAAAGGATCAATTAGTATTCTTATTGGGTTGTCAATGGGCAACAATGAGCACAGCTTCTGGTCAATTTTAAGTCATTAAATGATCAAAAAATAAAAAATGTTAATTTAATAATGATAATTAGAATATCCATGGTAATTGTAAATCAGAATTTAAAATAGGTACCGGTAGATTTTTTCTCTGTTGTTTAGAAAAGGTTGAGGGATCTATCAGTGGTACCCAAACAGAAGTTTACCCTGTGTCTGTTTAACATTTCCTTCACAGGTGGAGATACTTTAAGAACTGAGGAGAATGGCCCCACGGTTAATTTGGGTTGGCTAGCTGACCAGAGGGGTTAGATATTTATACCCATCGTATCTGTGTTGTGTGTGTGGTATTGTGATTTTAGGCTTGTATTTTTATATCCTCCCTATTATTGCCCTTGTATTTTTATATCCACCCCATTATTGCCCTTGTATTCATCCTTCATGTCGCTACATTTTCAGTTTGGGTTTGAACCCGTTTAGTTATGTTTGTGATTATTTACATTTGTTGCCAGTGTTCATATAGAAGTCTATTATTATTATTATATTTGAATCATTATTTATAACCCTATCTATTATTTCCATAAACATCTTGATCTGCATGATAATTCCTTCCCCTATTAAAATTGTTCCCAGCCTAAGATAAAAAAAATGATTGTAGTCTGGTGACTCTGTAGATTGTAAGTTCCTCCTGTTTAATTACATAGATTCATGAATTATCAAACAGTTGTGAATTAAGGAAAGAAATGTAGTGAACCACTGTATTGAAGCCTTAATATGAATCATTTAAGCTGCATTTTTTTACAATTTCTTGTCATCTTCGTTTTGACATGCCAAAAACAAAATTCTAGTAATTTATATTTTCACTTAAATTCATTGCATTATCTTCATGACAACCAACCATCTTACTTAAAGGTAACTTCAGTCTGTGTAGACTCCTATCATTCTGTGATGCTGAGATATATTTACCCCCATTGTACTCATAAAGGTGTATATTGTTATGTTATAAACGTTATATAGTTTTGCTTGCTGCCATACTGAGTTGCTGCGATTTGGTATCCCCATTGTATTTAGCTAGGTTTATATTGTTTGGGATGAGCCTGTTTATGTTATGATCAATTATGTTTAAGTTTACTTGTAATTATTACCAGTATGTTTATTACCAGAATTTAGCTTTGTTTACATACAAAACGTTTTTGATTATTTTTGATCAGACAACAATATTGCCTCGTCAGATGATAAAATAAACTCCACAAAATAAATTCAAGGTCATTATTTTCATGTCAAAATTCAACCATGGGACTTTGTCATAAGCAAAAAAGAAGAAAAATAATTGAACATACTTTGCAATGCTAGAAAATTGGAATCATTTAGATATACGTAAGCCAGGTATGTACTTTGAGTTTCTTGTCATACTACGCCAGGTAATTATGTCTCCCCTTCGAATGAAAGGTCATTATTTTCATGTCAAAATTCAACCATGGGACTTTGTCATAAACAAAAAGAAGAAAAATAATTGAACATACTTTGCAATGCTAGAAAATTGGAATCATTTAGATATACATAAGCCAGGTATGTACTTTGAGTTTCTTGTCATACTACGCTAGGTAATTATGTCTCCCCTTCAAATGAAAGGAGCCATTACCGGGTAAGTTGAAAATGCTCTTCCAGGTTGTTGTTGTTGTTGTTGTTGTTATTCTTCTAATATAATATTATCAGGGCCATAATTTGAAACTGTAAAACATATCTTGATGAAATTTGAAGTAGATGTATACCTGCATCACCAACGAGTATGGTTCCTGACACTTTGGAGTAAGTGACCGCTTTTTACAATACTGGTATATGTCTGACTGTGATGTCCTTTTTCAAAGTTGTATGATGTAATAATTTGTAATATTTGATTTGACATATGACCATATTTAGATTTAACTGATGATACCAGTACCCTTTGACCCTTTTACTCCTGTTATAGGACGCCCTCCAGCTACTCCCAGACAACAACAGACGAAACAAGGTCAGAAATCAAGGGTAGAGCCTCATCAACCAATAATCCGTACACCTGGCAAACCTGCAAAGTCAAAAGCCAATCTCTCAAGGTCATCGTTAAACATATCTGGGGAGCACCTCACACCGCGAGCAACGCCAAACGTCAGTTTTAATGAGAGCCAGGATGTGTTCTTATCGGGAGAGGAGACTCCAAGACAGGAAGATCAACAGATATATAAGGAAGAGCCAAAAATGGAGGCACAAAAACCTGCTACTGTAACCAGGCAACCACAACAACACCGTAGGCCTCAGACACCACCTGCTGCAAGGGTAGAGAGACCATCAACCCCGGGGTCCAAAGGTCAGGAGGTAAATGGAGGTCGCCAAGGAAGTACAAAGACTCAGAGAGTACCAAATGAACAGACAAGACCCAAAGTGATGGAGGACCGGAGTGTTGGGTCAGATAGTGATGACACCTTGGAAGGGTCAGAGGCACCAACAGTGGCAACAAAGACATCGGAGGGAAGGTAAGAAATGTCATCTATAAACCTAAACCAAGGGAGATAACTGTCAACTGGAAAAACAAGAGTATTTATGGAAATATTCAGATTGCCAGCATGTTCACGGCTACCTATCCATGTATCAAACATGCAATTTTTGCACATATTCATTTATGTAACAATACAAGTATCATACTTGCCAACCCTCCCTATTTAGTAGGGAGACTCCCGATTTTGGACCCTTAAATTTAGTATTTTCAACTGGTGAATTTATGAAACTATTCCTGTATTCTAAGATCAAATGATTTCACCTGAAAGAACCACTCAAGATGTCTTTTTAAAGGGTTGTTTTTTCTCTAGGGGGTTTATACACACATTTCAATTTTGAGCATGCAGAATCTCCCCAATGGAAATTTCAAGTATGAAGTATACGCATGTATATGAAACCAACAAGCAATAACGGATGGTTCAAATAAAATGGAGAAATTTTGCATTATGTTCTTACATCATCATAGTATAACAGGCTCCTCACAATGCTCATTGCAGTCCTACATGGAATCTTGACATGTAATTTCTGATTTCTAAATGCCTTTGTTCCAGTGAGAAATTCAGGGTCCTTCAGGATGAGATTGGTCGTCTCCGGGATGAATTTAAAAAGGCTACAGACGAACAACGCCAACAGATGCTGCAACAACAGCAGCAGCAACATCAACATGCACCACCTCAGCTACCACAACCTCCACAACAACCCCAGCAGGACGATTACCATTACTTTGACCCGACGGAAGATGCCTACGCCTTCATGAGAGGTCCACGTAGAAGGGCAAATTCTTTCTCGGGAGCAGGTGTTAGAGATTGGGATGACTGGTGGAAGTACCCCCTAATCAATCCTAATGACGGGGCAGACCTTCCTCTGGGTTATGCCGCAGCAGATTCATATGCCACACCCAGGAGGCAGGCGGCAGCAGCAGCAGCAGCAGCTGCCACAACTGCTGCCATGGAAACAGGACAAGAGGCACGGCCAAGAGGTCGACATCGTATCAGGAAAAAGTATCGTAAGACAAACCTAGAGAATGCGGCCCAGACTCAAGCTGGGTACGACTCGGACCAGTCACCGACAAGAGCCACAGCATCTACTGTCACAGATGATCAAATGTTTAATTACTATGTACACCCTACTCAGGTGGCAGCTGCTCCACAACAGTACCAGGCTACTCCGAGAGCAGCTCGGTACAGCTCTCAGCCCAACCTCTACTATGGGGCCTATCCCACAGCCAGTGCTCAGCCCCAGGTGTATGCTGCCCAAAGACCACAGCAACAAACACCAACTCAGCAATACACACGCCAAAGTGCCAACTACTCCACCCCCATCTCTGCCGGGTATGGTCCCAGGGTACGGCAGCAGCCACAATACAGGGTTCCCTCATCACCACAGCAGCAGCGTACATATTCTTATGATGACATTGATGCCCAAGGTCAAGGTCAGACATACCAACCAGCCCCTGTGGCATATATCCTGGCGGACCAGGTACCGACTGCCACTGGGCCAGTGTATGAGACATCGGTGGACAGTGCTGAGTGTCCACTGTGTGGAGGGGTGGGATACCACACCCACACCGAACAGGAGCCAGCACCACCCACAGCCACTCCAAGGGTCGTGTACACACTTCCAGAACCGGTCAGAAGGTAATGTACACTTACATGCCCTGTGTTATAATAATGTTATACCGTCTCATCAAGCCTAGCTTATTAACTACAAACAGGAATATACCTTTTATCTTCTTCTAGAGACTCAACCTTATAAATCATGTTTGCCTGTGTGTTAATTTAATCAGTAGCATTTTATGATAAATTCATACACAGTGAAACCACAATATACTGCCCCTTGTTTCATTTAATTGCCACTTCATTTACTGCCAACATATTTCAATGTCCCTTTTCCTTGTTTTCTTTATAAGTCCTTTATACATTTACTTCAATCTATTGCCAATCCCCTTTATGACACCATAATTTCCTTGGACAAAAATGGTGGCATCATAATGAGGTTTTAGTTTACGGTAAATGAGTTTAAACTTTGAGTTCATGACCAATATTAACTATCAATGAAATGAATTTAGTTTGCTTCAGTTTCTTTTTTTAAAGAAAGGAAAGCGTATTAAGTACTATTATAGTAATAAATTTATTCTGTAATCTTAGGACATGATTCTGTGTAACTATTAATTTGATATGTGTCATTAATTGTTATAATACTTAATTTCTCTGAGAAGGTCGAGACCAAGACAGAGATCCAAATCAGCCTCCAGGATCCGTCACTACTCCCCAGAAGGCAGAGGAAGGTCACGCTATCTTGTCCGAGAGTACCGTAGTGAGAGTGAAAGTGCCGAGTCAGAGGATGAGTTGTATCAGAGAAGGTAAGTAAAATGGCAAAGATTACTTCTTACAAATGTGTTCTTTACAGTTATAAGTATGGGATATCAATTTATGGTTCGTCAACATTAGTCTTCCTAATTCATAAAAAAAAATAAAAAAATATAATTGAAAAATCATTTAAATAAATACATACTAGTAATGTGTAACTAGTTGCAACTTTTCACAATGAAATAACAAAATGTATATCAGCTTTTTACCTCTGTAGGTCATCAGTTTGTGGCATGTGATCTCAATGATGTGATAAGGAATAAATGCTAATTAATTAGCATTGCATATAGTTAAGAACTACCTGAATTAGTCTAATGAATGCTTACAGTCTTGTGTACCTTTTCTAGATTGTTGTCAATGATTAAATTCAGTCTTCCATCTTAAAGAACCCCTCTTCATACCAGGGTGAATTTAAATCAAGTCCGGCATCTTATAGATCCCTCTCATCCCAGGGTGAATTTAAATCAAGTCTGGGATTTTAAAGATCCTCTTGCCCATTCGAAGGGGAATCACAAGACCATGATATCTGAAAGCCTGTTACCAGAATCCTGAACAATATGCCAGCTGTTAAAAAGTACGCATCTGGGCTTGAATAACATGAGCCAGCAGTAAAATCATTTGGACATGTTGACACAAATTTTACAGTTTTAAGTTGTTTATCTTAAACAGGAGCCAAAGCTCAGGTAGGAGGCAGCGAAGACCCGGTCGGCGATACAGAAAGGTAAAAAATGGTGGCCATGGTAGTCCCAGCCATGGTGACCTTGGTGATGGTGTCTGCACTGCTGTCGAGACTAACCCACCTAACACTGACTCTGATGAAGGGGTACGTCACTCCGTTCAGACCGTACAGATAGCAGTCACTCTCCGCTCACAAAATAAGGGTCAGTCGGCTTCCAGCGCAATGACCTAGTTTCAGATGTAGAAATTCCCAGATATTTCATCTTTAGGCCAATATTCCTTTATTAACAGCTACAAATTGATACATTTTAAATCATTATCTGTTAGATACTAATATTGAAATAATGCATGTTAAATTCGATCAATCTTTAATATCCAATAATTATTGCTAGTAAAAATTTCAGTTAGGCCCCCTAGATTATGATAACTCTGTAGAAACATCAGAATTGAATACAGTTGGTTCATTATTTCAATGTTACCAGTTTAATACAGTAAGTTTTCTAATAATGATTATCTCCTTCATTAGGGTCAAGTCTGTTGTCTATACCCTGTGTAATCCACCCTCTGTAACATCCTGTACTCTGATCTGTGCCTGTAATTGTATCATCTATACCACTTACACCTATGTTTCTACATGTACACTTACGTTATTGTAAATCACTTTAATTTCATGTTTTTTTTCAGTCTTACATACTTTAAACTCTTTTTTGTGTGAGCAATTATGTGTGCAATCTAGAGTTGAATTTACTATAGACCAGCCTGGTGAATTATGATGCTTTAATATGTATGTTACATCATTATACAAAGTGATTTACAATATACGATCTCACGCAGTCACACTCTGGTTTTTATGCATGTTACCCACCCTTTCTCACTCTATTTTCCAGTGTTACTGTTACTTAGATGTTTTGTCAGATTGTATTTCCTATTTCTCTGCTCTCTGTAGTACAAGTATTTAGTCTGCACATGTTATTTGTTCACGTTTATCTATACAAGTTTTAATCTATTGATATATAATTACATCAAAACATGATAAACATTATTTAACTTCTTGTTAATGTGTGTCAATATGTAGAGAACAGTCATTTTAATTTCTTATTAAAAGTCAAATATTTGTCGTACAATTGACCAATAATTTGATAGTGTGAATGCAAAACCTTCGGACATGCAAACAGAAGTCCAGTACATGGCTTCAAGGTCACTTGAAATTCTAAACTGATTTTAACTGCTTCTAGAAGATTGTTTTTGACCTGGAGTATTTAAGTTAATGGTACACATTGTCTAAATTACTGTAATGCTACAATTTATAAATTAATGATACATTGTATAAATTAATGATATGATACATTGTTTTAAGTAATGATATGATTCATTGTATAAATTTGTATGATAATCTATAAATTAATGATACATTGAATGAATTAATGATATTATACATTGTATGAATTATTGATACATTCTATGAATTAATGATACATTGCATGAATTAATGATATAATGTAGAAGTTCATACCAGATAATATAATTTCCACAGAATGTCTTCATATATATATTTTACCATTAGTTTATGAGAGAAACAACAAATAATACCATTTGTTTTTCATCCACCCTAACATATATAAACTGGACTTTGATATGGTAAGGTTCAAATGTGACTTTAGGGGTCATTGGGTTATAATCACCACTCAATGATATCCTCAATATATACTTATTTAATTGATTATTATTATCAAAGGTTGGTTACAATAATGGAACTGTTGAATAATTACAGGAGTATGAGGATGCCCTGAACCAGTCTCTCAATTTGACGGAGGAAATTGATGACCTCACAACCAAAATGATGAGCACAGTTCGAGGGGAGCTGAAGCTGGCAAAGAAACACAAAGAATTTGGCTCCTCTGTATGGTGAAACTGGCCTGAAGTTACACCTGAGAATGATTTAATATTAATGTACTGATCTTCCATAGACTATACAGCAGAAGATGTACCAGTATGACGAGACTGGCTCTCCATACACTTCTAGCTAGCTCAGTATGGTGAAACTGTCCTTCCATAAATTAAACACCAGGGAAAGATGCAGCAATAGCTGATAATGTGAGGAAGCACATTTATGGTTGTCTACATTTAGCATCCAGATGGAGTTAATGTTGTGACAGCTCTGCCTTCGGTCGGTGAGGAGTATACGAGTTATAATGTACACTGTACCCTTGGAGGTCCTGAGAGGAGGGCTCTGTATGGATAAGACTGTCATTTATTGATGGAGTGTGTTCTATTTGAAGGTCAGGTATGACTGATGTATGGACATTTAGAGAAGAGATGGTGATTGGTATCACATGATCTTGAAGGGAACTTTTTTGTTCCAGTGAGTGGATTATTTGGAATATAAGTAGGCCTTGTGTGACGTGTAAACTGAACAAAAAGTATAATCAAATTTGAATGCCATATTTGTTGAGAATAATGTGTATCGATGCATGCACATCATGAATTGTACTCATGTGAAACAGAATAGAAGGACGTATCATATGATACATTAGGATGATATACAATACAGTAATTATCACGATTACTATGTGTAACACTAGCTTGACCCTATACTATACAAAATATATACATGAAGTGGTTATATGTCATTTTTTAATTGTTGTATGGTCAGTGAATTTTGTTTTTGATTTTCACAAAATGTCAAACTAAGTATATTTTTATCTGGACATTGTTGGAATTGTAATCAGTAAGGGAACACAGCAGTATTACAACTGTGTAGAAAATAAAGGATATGTCTATCTGTCCCAGTGTTACACTGATGGGCACATTACTGGATTGTAACATCGTATGTTGATTAATAAACTGTATCCTGAGATAGGTAGATATTGGAGAATTAGATGTGGAGGCCCGTGATAGAGCATTAATTGATTTCCCTGGATCATATTCAACTTGAATCAAGTTATTGTATCAACAACAAGATCGACAGGTAATGGTGATCAGTTTCAGCGGAAAGGTATTCTACATCTACAAAACTTAAATTGCTGTCCACAATTACCAGTATATTATCATGCCATTTACACTTTACTGATGTGTTTACATGTATTATGACGTCAAGAACATAATTTTAAAGCCAGTACCTTGTATCTTAATCAGCTGAAAGAAAATCCAGATGTCTGATGGCTGACCCAGAAATATATGGGGGCAGGGAGAACCTTCTCCACCAACCACGATTTTCATATTTCATGTAGGGTCAACTTTACAAATGGAAGCAGTTATTTTAGGCCCCATCCACCACATATCATCTATCAGAAGTATACATCCCTTCCCCCACCCCAATACCTTCCTGTCTACAATTGCCCTGAGATGAGATGCGTTTGAATTTATTATGATTTTGATGTACATCAGCAATTGTTTGAAAAGTCACTTTGACTGTGTGTTGCTCCTGTTACTGCCCTGCGATTCCTTTGTATAATTTTGTATAATGAAATGCAGATACAATTATTGATACCAGTAGGAAAAAGAATAGAAGGTAATTATCTCCCTTGGTTTAACTCTATTTATAATGCCAACATTTTCATGTAACGTTTTATAGTGATAGGGGACTAAGGTAACAAAACATCATTTTGTATTGTACATTTGATTAATATCAAATTGAACTAGACTTTGTAACATACCCTCAATACATTGTGATAATAATGACTAGTGTGTTAGATGTTATAAAAATACCTCATCATTGAAGGATATATATTTTGTATGCAAAGTGGACATTAGATGGTGCATGTAAATAAAATAGATCAATTGTAAAAATGTTGGTCATTTTGTGTGGTGAGTATGTAAATTATGTTTATATTAAATACATAAATAACAAATCATTAGTATATTAAATATACCAATTATGTGTGAATATTAATCTTGTCATAAATATTCAGTTTTTTAATACATACTGTATAAAGTTTCATTATTACTTTTTATAGTTTATAAGGAATAAAATCAAAGTACACACTATTTATTAACATAGAACCAATGAGCACTGGTGCCGATCAGTGTTGATTGTAACAATGGTTTTTATATTTTTTGGCATACAGAAAGGTATATAAACATACCAGGTAATTGAATCTATACCTGAGTGTAGATCATTGTGGTTTAAACAAAACTTCAATGTCAAAATTAATTTTGAACTATACTTTTACATAGTTTGTATCCTTTTTTCCATATTATTTTGGGTTCATATTGCAACTGTAAACTTTCAGCATAGAAATGGTGATTGCTAGATTTATAACTGTACCATTTTAAGTGTCTGAAGTTAAGTCCCAAGTTTTATAACTCATTCTGTTGTAAATATTAACTACTGATAGTATTTATGTAAGAAAATACGACATCTTGATGAAAGGTTGTGTATATAAGTACATGCATACAATATTTATTTATAACTACACTTAAGAGATTCAATAACTGTGATAGAAATTGTATTTTTTTTTAATGATTTCATAGGTTGTCATTAGTGTATGATTTACTGTTTAGTTTATTACATACCAGTATATTTTCTCTGTGATGTAGCAAACATGATCAAATGAGTACTGTGATTAACAGGAACCGTTTTAAGTTCATATCCGTCCCACAAATGTTTATATCTGTACCACCGATTTCTTTATATCTCTTTTGAGTGTTGTGTCCGTCCCGATAGAATTATTTATCCGCACAAGAAAATCAACCAGAGTAGTTCATCATTTTCAACTCCTTTTTACTCACAATTTATTTTACATGCACATTAAATTTGATTATTTAAGTTTCAATTACTTTTTTCATTTTTACAAGACTTTATTAACACTTTGTATGAAATTTGTTTTGTATATCTAATATTTAACATGGACTATGATCTGAGTTAAGAGGCAGATGTGCGTGCGTTCAGAGTAAACAAGTTAAACTAAGTATATCAAGGTTACCAATAGCTATTTCCTCCTGTTTTTCTATATTGAAAGGTAAAAGTTGAACGGTACATGTACTGTAGTGAAACATTCAAATTCCTTAGTAATTTAGTTTTTGTTTCAAGAAAAATATTATGAAAGTTATTTAATTGAAGATATTGAACATTTGGGTTGATACCTCTAAATATTTGTTCACTTGAATATGCAGAATGCTCGGCTAAAGTTGTTCAATAGACACCAGTAGTTAGATAGTATACCATATAATAAAACCGTTGTGATTTAAACCGACAGTGTACAGCATGCTAACGTAATTCGGTATCAGTCAATAATTTATACGGGAGGCCTTTATACAACATGTTTAAAGGTCACAAGCAATAACATATATCATCTATAAATTAGAAAAGTCTTGCCATTACAAAATCTGTTGTTTATAGGCAAATTTTAATGATCTGCCTGTCTGCATTCTGTTTTCTCAAATTATGAAAAGTGCATTTTGTAAAAATCATGTATGTTGTAGTTAACTGAATGTCATTGATTTATTTCGATATTAAAATGTGGTTTATTTTACTTGTATATTTATCATACAATGTATATCTTTCTATAATAGCAATATTTCATTTGAAATGTTATAATCATTTTAAAATAGGAAAATATCACTGTGCTTAAAAGATGTTTTTGATACAGACTATAGGAAACGATTATTAACATTCATGTTTTTATCAATTTTATTTTGTACTGAAGAATGTTTTTTTCATACTGATTATATTGAAAAGATACTTTCTTTTCAACACACAGACAAATTGTTTCCGTATTTGAATTGCAGTTAATTTATGTATTAATTTTAATATTAAAATGTACCAATTGTTTTCTTCCTTTTCTGTTTTATTCACAAAGGAAAAGTAGTTCCTGTATGAATACCCTTGCTGGTAAAACTTGCTATAAATTCTTGGTACCTAACGCATTTTCCATGATATATTGAGAAAATAATATACCACTCTAATAGTATTTCCTTGAGACTTTTAATTTCAGTGCATTTTTTGTACTGATCTGAAGTTAGAGTATTACATGTAATCATTAGTCATTGATTGGCATCAAGTAAGAACCATTATATATTAATTATTGCACTTGGTTTCCAGTTGGTGTAGAAGTGTAACTTATATAGACGGCATATTTGTCCCAAATTGTATCCTGTAGCTTTCAGGTTCAGCCCTGGTGTGTATTGTATACAGTAGCCCTCAGCCCTGGTGTGTATTGTATACAGTAGCCCTCAGCCCTGGTGTGTATTGTATACAGTAGCCCTCAGCCCTTGTGTGTATTGTATACAGTAGCCCTCAGCCATGGTGTGTATTGTATACAGTAGCCCTCAGCCCTGGTGTGTATTGTATACTGCAGCCCTGGTGTGTATTGTATGCAGTAGCCCTCAGCCATGGTGTGTATTGTATACTGTAGCCCTAAGCCATGGTGTATATTGTATACTGTAGCCCTAAGCCCTGGTGTGTATTGTATACTGTAGCCCTGGTGTATATTTTATACTGCAGCCCTGGTGTGTATTGTATACTGCAGCCCTGGTGTATATTGTATACTGCAGCCCTGATGTGTATTGTATACTGCAGCCCTGGTGTATATTGTATACAGTAGCCCTCAGCCCTGGTGTGTATTGTATACTGTAGCCCTCAGCCATGGTGTATATTGTATACTGTAGCCCTCAGCCCTGGTGTATATTGTATACTGTAGCCCTGGTGTGTGTTGTATACTGCGGCCCTCAGCCCTGGTGTATATTGTATACTGCAGCCCTGATGTGTATTGTATACTGCAGCCCTGGGGTATATTGTATACAGTAGCCCTCAGCCCTGGTGTGTATTGTATACAGTAGCCCACAGCCATGGTGTGTATTGTATACTGCAGCCCTCAGCCCTGGTGTATATTGTATACTGTAGCCCTGGTGTGTGTTGTATACTGCAGCCCTCAGCCCTGGTGTATATTGTATACTGCAACCCTCAGCCCTGGTGTTTATTGTATACTGTAGCCCTAAGCCCTGATGTGTATTGTATACTGTAGCCCTCAGCCATGGTGTATATTGTATACTGTAGCCCTCAGCCCTTGTGTATATTGTATACTGTAGCCCTAAGCCCTGGTGTGTATTGTATACTGTAGCCCTCAGCCATGGTGTGTATTATATACTGTAGCCCTAAGCCCTGGTGTATTGTATACCATGGTACTGGATTCCATAAATTGTGATATTGCATTGTCTACCCAAGACAGTCATTTTTTATTATTAAACTGTGCATACATGATTACTAAGCAGTCATGATTAAAATATATTTATATACAATAATTTGAGATGTTCTTTTGTTTTTGAAAGTGTAATAATCAGTTTTTTTGCAACTTAATGCATGCATTTATCTGTTCGTAGTCAGTATTAGGAGGCACTGTAGTCGAATGGTAGGACGTTGGGCTCATGACCGAAGGGTTGTTGGTTCGAGTCACAGCACGGCACTGTGTTGTATCTTCGAGCAAGATAATTTACTCCACTTGTTCCAGTCTACTCGGCTGTAAATGAGTACATTGTTGGGCAGTGCTAGAATTGTAGAATGCTAGCTGTGAGCACCGAAATGGCAGCACCGGCTGTATGCTCCCCAGGGAGTTGAGAAAGATATTGGCTGGTTCCAAAGGCCCTATAACCACAAATAATAATTTGCGAGCCGCTTTTGAGACGACCTACAAACTACAAGAACCTCGGATTATTATTATAACAGAAATGCTAAATCTCTTACGACTTCCAGGACAATGCCACAGGTTTGATCACAACACATCCATGTACACACAGCAGCTTAGATTATGACTAGTGTCGATGATGATTGGGCTACACAACAGCTTTGATCATACAAGTGCTATTTGATGAACACTTGCCTCCTGCATGCACGTGTATACCAAGCCAAAATGTAACATTACTGAATTATATTATTCACATTCTGTATTAAATCTATTTCCAAACTACATATTACATCGCAGCATGATCAATTTCAAGTTAACCAATTTTCAGTGATTCCCCGATCCTTTCACCACTAAAACAAGATTACCGCGGGGTGGAACAATATACGCCCGTCGAATGTCATATAGTGTTATATACTTTCTTACATTGAAATAAGATCTGCATCATTCTAAGAGTGGTTAGCCGACATGCTTAAAAAATGTAGGAGAAAATCAAATACTGAAATGAACAAAGGGCAATAACTTTTGCAAAAATCGTCAAATCAAAATTCTTTTGAGGGAGACGCAACTTGTTATCATGATTATAATGTATACAAAGTTTCAAAGAGATCGGTTGAAAAATGTAGGAGGAGATTGCCTGACAAACAAAAGGTTACGCCGGCCGGCCAGACAACCCCATACCATAATACTCCCGTCAAATTTGATGGGCGTATAAAAATGTAATAGCTGCTACATAAAATTGCCTCAAAATCAGTAAATGTCCAATTGACAATTGTTCAAACATGGATAAACCTTTTTGTAGTGCGACTTCAATCTTTGATTTTACAAGAAACTAGTTGCATAAATTGTGGTAGTTATGCAATGTGTTTTAAGTTAAAATCAAGAATATTTTGAGTCTCTCAGCGAGACAAAAACCTGGCAAGGACACAGGACAAGAATTACTGTAAACAGCATCATGCAATGCAGAGGGCTAAAATACTTCTGTAGTTCACTCTCTGTATTTCCATAAATGCCCTAAAATGAAATTCAATCATACACAAAGAACCCAGTTATATCACATCTTTGAATGGTGGCTATTTTTATATGCAGGCACCTAAGGTTGTGAAAATGTGCTCCTGAACACCAGAAGAAATGAGATTATAAACCACAAAAAGTTTCAAACTTTTTACCACATTTTATTAGCCTCTATGTACACTCAAGACTTCTAACTCTTGGTTTTTCTTGTCGACTTGACGACCACAGGCTTCTGGCTCCTGAGGAGGGCACTGGCACGACGGATAGCAGCCTAAACATAAACAAAACAGTTAATTAGAACAGGATTTCACGTGGCACGCTTAGTACACTCATAGAACCTCTTATCATGCTGTTTTTAACAGTTAGATGTAAATGAATACGAGACGCACTGATACCTGGTACTAAAACAATTAGTTCTTTATCTTGTTCAAACATCGCAACTTCATTATGCCTTTTCAGAAATAGCTGTTCACAATTATCTGAGAATGAACTGAAATTAATAGTTAAGGTAGAACTTTTTATGTACATGACCTAATTAATCTGCCACTGAACTGTTTATTCAATTTTTTGCATGCATGAACAAATCTATTTATACATGCCATATGTATAAATAACATAATTATGGCCATAAACAAGCACCTCCTACTAGATACCAGGTAACAGATATGTTCTACTAGATACCAGGTAACAGATATGTTCTACTAGATACCAGCTAACAGATAAGTTGAGTTTTACCTCCTACTAGATACCAGGTAACAGATATGTTGAGTTTTACCTCCTACTAGATACCAGGTAACAGATATGTTCTACTAGATACCAGGTAACAGATATGTTCCACTAGATACCAGGTAACAGATATGTTGGGTTTTACCTCCTACTAGATACCAGGTAACAGATATGTTCTACTAGATACCAGGTAACAGATATGTTCTACTAGATACCAGGTAACAGATATGTTCTACTAGATACCAGGTAACAGATATGTTCTACTAGATACCAGGTAACAGATATGTTCTACTAGATACCAGGTAACAGATATGTTCTACTAGATACCAGGTAACAGATATGTTCTACTAGATACCAGGTAACAGATATGTTCTACTAGATACCAGGTAACAGATATGTTCTACTAGATACCAGGTAACAGATATGTTCTACTAGATACCAGGTAACAGATATGTTCTACTAGATACCAGGTAACAGATATGTTCTACTAGATACCAGGTAACAGATATGTTCTACTAGATACCAGGTAACAGATATGTTCTACTAGATACCAGGTAACAGATATGTTCTACTAGATACCAGGTAACAGATATGTTCTACTAGATACCAGGTAACAGATATGTTCTACTAGATACCAGGTAACAGATATGTTCTACTAGATACCAGGTAACAGATATGTTCTACTAGATACCAGGTAACAGATATGTTCTACTAGATACCAGGTAACAGATATGTTCTACTAGATACCAGGTAACAGATATGTTCTACTAGATACCAGGTAACAGATATGTTCTACTAGATACCAGGTAACAGATATGTTCTACTAGATACCAGGTAACAGATATGTTCTACTAGATACCAGGTAACAGATATGTTCTACTAGATACCAGGTAACAGATATGTTCTACTAGATACCAGGTAACAGATATGTTCTACTAGATACCAGGTAACAGATATGTTCTACTAGATACCAGGTAACAGATATGTTCTACTAGATACCAGGTAACAGATATGTTCTACTAGATACCAGGTAACAGATATGTTCTACTAGATACCAGGTAACAGATATGTTCTACTAGATACCAGGTAACAGATATGTTCTACTAGATACCAGGTAACAGATATGTTCTACTAGATACCAGGTAACAGATATGTTCTACTAGATACCAGGTAACAGATATGTTCTACTAGATACCAGGTAACAGATATGTTCTACTAGATACCAGGTAACAGATATGTTCTACTAGATACCAGGTAACAGATATGTTCTACTAGATACCAGGTAACAGATATGTTCTACTAGATACCAGGTAACTGATATGTTCTACTAGATACCAGGTAACAGATATGTTCTACTAGATACCAGGTAACAGATATGTTCTACTAGATACCAGGTAACAGATATGTTCTACTAGATACCAGGTAACAGATATGTTCTACTAGATACCAGGTAACAGATATGTTCTACTAGATACCAGGTAACAGATATGTTCTACTAGATACCAGGTAACAGATATGTTCTACTAGATACCAGGTAACAGATATGTTCTACTAGATACCAGGTAACAGATATGTTCTACTAGATACCAGGTAACTGATATGTTCTACTAGATACCAGGTAACAGATATGTTCTACTAGATACCAGGTAACAGATATGTTCTACTAGATACCAGGTAACAGATATGTTCTACTAGATACCAGGTAACAGATATGTTCTACTAGATACCAGGTAACAGATATGTTCTACTAGATACCAGGTAACAGATATGTTCTACTAGATACCAGGTAACAGATATGTTGAGTTTTACCTCCTACTAGATACCAGGTAACAGATATGTTCTACTAGATACCAGGTAACAGATATGTTCTACTAGATACCAGGTAACAGATATGTTCTACTAGATACCAGGTAACAGATATGTTCTACTAGATACCAGGTAACAGATATGTTCTACTAGATACCAGGTAACAGATATGTTCTACTAGATACCAGGTAACAGATATGTTCTACTAGATACCAGGTAACTGATATGTTGAGTTTTACCTCCTACTAGATACCAGGTAACAGATATGTTCTACTAGATACCAGGTAACAGATATGTTGAGTTAACTCACCATCTTGAGGTCCTTCCTGTATCTGTTATTACCAATGGTCTTCCTGATGGTGTTCACCACACGTCTTGGATCTCTCTTCAGCTCCATCTTAGTGTGGCTCTTACAAGGTTTCCTCCATCCTAAAACACAAAATGTCTGCATGTATAAGAATAGACTGGTACATAAAATTAATCATTACATGGACTAAGTGAAAACTGTCTAAACTGAACACAGTAGGGACTAATGTTGTCACCTTATTCAGGGTCCCAGGGCAATATAACATGTTACACCGTTATATCAGTACAGTTTCAAGAATTTTTATTTCAGATACAGTTCAAATATTTATAAAATTAAAAAGACAAAAACATCATTATTATATTAAACCTGAATGTTTTGATCACTTGCCTTGCCCGACTGGGCAAGTGAAAAATATAAGTACCGATTAATGTTCATCACAAATCATTTTGAATCAATAGGATACTTAATATTATTATTCTAGATATCAAAGAGGTTGTCCAAACATATCGATTGAAGTTTTAATTATCCTTTCAATCTAGGCTTATCTATATTCATAAATTACTGACAAAAGACTGTTTGCTGAGGTTATTGTGACAATCTGTATAGTAGTACAGTTTGTCATGTTCATTTAAGCGTTTGTCCGAGTAGCAGGTAGGTAGAGTGTCCCCGAGACATGGATTCATAACAAAGCTCAACAAAAGCAATTGAACCTGATAGGCAAATTTGCTAGCATTCTGGTTAACTAAGTTACGTAGTTCTGGAAAAGCACAAAATATCATGAGGTGACATAGTTACAACAAGAGGCCCAATGGGCCTGCATCGCTCACCTGGTATAAAACTCACACTTGTAACCTTAAAAGTGATCTAAAATAAAGCTACAGGCAAAATATCAGTATTTATGATTAAAATTCGTTCAAAAGACCCTGTGAATTTTTTTAAAAACATTTCACCCCTGTGATTGAAAGTCAAACAAAGTCATTATGTTGAACACATTGTATAGCCTTTCATCTCAGGATGCAACTTGCAAAGTATAAACATCCTGGGACCCATGGTTATTCATAAGAGGTTGTTTAAAGATTTTAAACAAATTTGACCCCTGTGACCTTGAATATAAGTCAAAGTCATTCACTTTAACAAACATAGTAGTCCTTGATCCCAGCATATGCTACTAACTAAATATCAACATCCTGAGCCTTTTGGTTATTCAGAACAAGTTGTTGAAATATTTTAAACATATTTGCTCCTTGTGACCTTGAATATGATTCAAGGTCATACATTTAAACAAACTTGGTAGCCCTTGATCCTAGTATGCTACTGACTAAATATCATCACCCAGGGCATTTTGGTTATTCAGAAGAAGTTGTTTAAAGTTTTTAACATATTTGACCCCTGTGACCTTGAATATGGGTGAAGGTCATTTATTTGAACAAACTTTGTAGCCCTTTATCTCAGCATGCTACTGGCCAAATATCATTACCCTGGGCATTTTGGTTATTGAGAAGAAGTTGTTTAAAGTTTTTAACATATTTGACCCCTGTGACCTTGAATATGGGTGAAGGTCATTCATTTGAACAAACTTTGTAGCCCTTCATCTCAGCATGCTACTGGCCAAATATCATCACCCTGGGCATTTTGGTTATTCAGAAGAAGTTGTTTAAAGTTTTTTTAAGACAATTGACCCCTGTGACCTTGAATATAATTGAAGGTCATTCATTTGAACAAACTTGGTAGCCCTTCACCCTAGCATGCTACTGACCAAATATCATCTCCCTGGGCAGTTTGGTTATTGAGAAGAAGTTGTTTAAAGTTTTTAACATATTTGACCCCTGTGACCTTGAAAATAGATGAAGGTCATTTATTTGAACAAACTTGGTAGCCCTTCATCCCAGTTTGCTTCTGGCCAAATATCATCACCCTAGGCCTATCGGTAATTAAGAAGAAGTCGTTTAAAGTAAAATATTGACGCCGGACCACGGCATAAAAAAGTCAGAGCCATGGTGCCAATTTTAATTCTTGAAGCTGTGTATTAATAAAAAAAATCTTCTTTGAAATTCAGAACTGTTTTGATGGCCATACTGCAATATTTCTGGACCACAGAATCTCCAAGAAATTTGCTAATCTTTTATTAATGGCAGCGACATTCTTTTTTCTTTTGTAATCAGCGATGATTCAGAATTTCAGGCACAATTTGGTTGTTTGGTGCTGTTTTATGGCTCATGGAATATTTAAGCATAAAGTTAAAACCAAAGAAGTTCAGTAAAATTATTCCAATTTCGATGCTTATAAACTAACTTATGGTCATTTCTTATGAATACCAGTATTGAAACACACATTTTGTTTTGGTCCCGACTGATACCTACCAGACTGGTTTCGTGTAACCAAGACAACACCCTTGCCATCCTTGGCTGGTTCTACACCAATTGTCTTCTTCCTTACCAGGCCATTGTAGCGGAAGGAGTTGATAGCCTTCAAATTGTTGGGTTCCTGAAATTGAAATCAATTATATAGGATACCATAAGCTAGGCAAAAAAATGTCTCTTTTTTTTCCTACCTTAATTAGTCTTTTCATTAATAACTTTTTATGAACTTATGGCAAATTCAAACATGATTATTTTTTCATTGATTGAAAGAAAATTAATCGGCAGCATTCGCACAAATTTCACTACAGTAACATTTTTGTTTGTCCTTGTTGTAGACTTGCGAGATCTCTACTGCAGACAATACAAGTTTATTATAAACTCATGAAATTGGAATTGGTGCATGCAATGAAAGGAAGCAGACTGAATATGATAAAAGTATGAAAACTTGTTTCAGGATGTATGCTACTAAACCAAATACCAGTGTTATATATATATATATGGTGACGGTGTCACAAAACTTGCATTCATGTACCCTTCCAAATATGTACTCAATTGATCTATAAAATCTAAATCAATATTCATACCGTAAATGGAAAGAGTAGCATGTTATACTTAAGTGTATCATACATCCTTAAGTCCAGCACATACCATACTAAAGGTTCTCTTGTTTCCCTTCAACAGGAAACAGGAGTTGTTCCTGATGATTGCCCATTGTACATCGGCTGACATGGTGACTTTTATAAGTCTGTAAAAAAACAAGATCAAAATAAGTGTTGTACGCGTGCATCACCAAATAATTCTATTTGTCCATTTCATTTGTTAAAAATACAATGACTCAATATAATGTCAATCCAAAAATGCACATGCTCTAATAACTCTATGCAAAGAGACATTACATTCACTGTGCCAGTTTACAGGAAAAAAAATGAAACATAGAAAAAGGCTTGGTCAGATAAATGTGCATGTGACAAGTAAAAAGTGGGTTCATGTGCCAACACAAAACTTACAATGAAGCATCAATACATCTACGTTGAATGTCAAGACTGAGAATATGTTACGAGTCACCGTCGTCAATTGGTAACATGGACGCCAACATTTAAACTGTTCCTCTTTAATTTAAATTGTTAACAAGCAAGGATCATTTGCATAAAAAAATTGTTTCACCCATTTCTAATTTCTGAAGTAATGTACTAGTCTACAATACAGTGAAAATGATAACTGATAATTATTATGAACCTTGTGATTAAGGTCAGTATAGGAAAGCTAAGAAATAAGGATCAAAGTTTGAACCTCCATCATGATCATTGCTTCTTTATCGACTGTGAAATCAGATATTTCCGTTGGGCCCAAATTTCATGGTTACTCTACAAAACACCATTCCGTGGATACATGACACTTTGTAAACATGTCATCGATAAATCAAAGTAGATAAAGAAATATAGGAATAAATTTTTAGATGATTTTCTAGCAATCTGTTGGGTCACAAAAGCAATAAACATGGATGGATCAGATTGCCCTAATAACCATCCACCCAAAATTGTTTTGCTGTGAGTATATTTATTGGCAAAACTTTTTCCAGTCTGTTTAGTTATATACATGGCTATTAATATCACATTTGAAGACATCTTTCCTCTTTTATGCTATGAGAGTCAAAGACTTGTACATTAATCTCGCAAGCATGGGGACCAGGTCTCTACACAGCATGCAGTTCTTCAAGGAACAGATCAAGAGCTTTTCATGAGACATAGAAAAATAGTTTTTAATCATCTACAACATTTAACACCCAATTAATATTAAAACTATATATATTTGGATGAAAACATCTCCGGCAAACTGAGTTCAGGGCAAAATATGCTGTCGTGTTTTAACTAGGTAAACATCAGCATTTACCATTGAAATAACAAAGTATAAGATATTGTAATCATTATCTTTAAATAGACCTCCAAGTGTTTAAAAGAAGTTGACGTATTTTCATTTTACTTTATTCCCCCATTTCAGTAATAAAATTGTTACTCAAATGGGAAACTGTTACGTACCCAAAGGCATGATTATAACCCACATGCGCCCAACCTGTTCAATATCATGGGGTTTACATTTAGGATGATAAAACCGGTCATCTTTTAGGTAGCTTGTTGAACCTTAAAATTACCATCCCTAAGTCTTTTACAATAGCATTTTTATTTCATAACTAGACAAAACGTTACACGGATACATTGTCATTGGCAATGTATGGTAAATGGCAATACATGGTACCAAGTTTCTTTCCATTCGAAGAAAAAGCGTCGAACACATCGATAAGCATTCATGGAATAAAATAATTAATTGGTACACCACACGTTGCAAAAATGTGTACTAGTCTGGAGAGAGGGGGGGGGGTGTATATTGGAGCCTGACTGTCGGGTGTTTAAAACACAAAATGGCATAATTATGGCACAACAACAAGCTATTTTGAAAAACAGTAGTGTAACGGTGGTTTAGTTTTATTCGATAACTTAATTTGAAACGGATTAGTACTGGCATTTGAAGTAATTTGTTGCATTACAAACAGGAATTAGGAAAGCATGGTCACCTCAGGAAGTTACAGCGAGAAAGAGGGTATGAAAGTAGTTCGCGAGTAAGAAATGAATACATAGTAAAGCAATATTTCATAACAATTTATTATCATAAATAAACACATAATTTCAATATATGTAAAAATGTGTTATGTTGTTTGGGTTTGAAATAAAGAAGATTTATGATTTGTAATAATAGCTTAGAACTCTTTCGGATAGCGGATGAAGTGATAGTATTTGCCGGAAGCAGCTAAAATTCTAATAAGAAAAGATAATCGTATCCCTGAACTTACGGAATATGAATGACAAAGGTAAATGATTTCTTCTAGGCGTCAAAATGTAATATTTTTAATTAATTAATAACGCATTAAACATTTTATTACAAATTAAATGTTATAGATATGCCAAAGAAAGGAAACGCGTATACTATACTTTCAGGATAGCTTGTAGCAGTTTGCGATGACCAAAGGGAGATAACTGTTGAGAAATAGGCCTACTGTACATGTATTATAATATATATATATATATATATATTTGTCTGGAGTTACAAAAACAACTTTTTTTTCAAAGATAAACTTCAAAGTCTTAATGTGGCAGTTATAAATGTGATTTTTTTTGTGTAAATGTGAAATTAGTACTTTCATCATATCTCTTGCAGCTTAGAAAGCTATAGAAATATTAAAATCATAATTGTCATAAAATGATTTGATTGATATGATCACGGACTTAGATAACAATTCCGTGATATGATGCAATAAACTATCACATTTAAAGTTAGCCATGCGGCGAATGCTCACAGGGTAAAATATTGAAATGTTCATAGTGTAGCAGAACTGGACTGGGTTGTCGATGACAATTGTATTTATATACGTATAGCTCAGTTGGTAGAGCGTCCATCAAGAGTTCGGAGGGTCTCGTGTTCAAACCCTGAACTGGCTGTGCATTTTTCAACTCCTTCTACATTTGGTGTCTGTGACCAACCCTTGTTTCAAGTTCTGGGTGAATGCTCGGCAAGGGGATACTCGAACCTGAGGGTTGTAAATAGTTGTGTCTTCTGGTGCAAAGACTAAGAAAAAGGAGGGGGGAATGTAGAGGAACTAGACTCACTCCCGGGTCGATCATTGGTGACCAGGTAGCTCAATTGGTAGACCATCTGTCTAGATCTAGAGTTCGGAGGGTCTGGTCATACATTTTCCTGTTCCTTGATTACAATCGATTACAGGATCTCTCTGATTTTGTAAACAAACTTATAAAATTAAGTTTTTGTGTGTGCAATAACGCCTATACCTAAATCAGAACCCTTGAATTATAATTACATCAAAAGGATATAAATAAAGTTATCCATTTCCTAAAGCATTCTTAACTGATACCAACACTCGCATGTGGACACATGAAAACTTAATTCCAAAAACAATTGCTGCTCTGCCAAAAAAAGATAATAACCATAATTTACTGCCCAGGCTAATTAACTCATAATTTATAATGTGATATAGAGTGAAACATGTAAACAAAATAATTAAATAAGTTTGTATAAAGCATGATGCAGGTTCCATTCTCCTTCTGTCTTAGTGTATCATTTTTTTACCTTTATTAAACAACTTTTGAATTATAACCAAGAGGCCTTGAGTGTGATGATCTTTGGTCAGTAGCATATATGCTGGTGCGAAGGACTAAGAAAGGGTGTCTATAAGGCCCTTTTTTGGGCCCCGGTATATTCAGATTTTCACCTCCTTATTTTGTTTATAGATGTCCTATTGTATATCATGCGGAAAAACTATGGTAAAACTTTGACCGAAAGTGGGTTTCTGGGGGTACCAAAAGGGGTATGGTAAATCACAAATATAGTTTGCTGTTTTCAAAATTACCTTAAAAACCAAAATAATATCGTTTCTGTTTTTGAAAACATGTATAAATTAAACAAGCATATGTAACGGAATGAAAAATGACAGAAGTTCAATCGTCACTTAAAGATTGTTTATATGAAACGAAGGATTATGTCAGGGGGGTCTTTTCGGTCATTTTCAATTGAAAAGTAATTTGTTTTCTCAATAATTTCCTTTCTAATTAATATTTTGACTTGATATTTACAACTTCACTCATTTACGTAAACTTACATAAATTACATATTGACTACATACTTTCCTTTTGTTTTGTACTGAGTTGTGGCTTCTGGAACACATCTCAAACTTGACTTTTTCAAATATCTCTTAATTTTAAGTGAATTAAAAGGTGTATGACAACCTTTATATGCTATAAGTGTAAGATATCAATTGTTAGTATTGTATATTATATATATCATATAATATTTGCTCAACACCTGTGGCTGAAGTGAGTTCCAGGTCCTGATTTGTTTTTTTACTTATCAAAGTTAACTTACAAATCAAAAATGGCATTTGCCACCACAACTACTGTAAAATGATTGATTTAATATATGAAGTTTGATTTGCTGGTAATTTTAAGTCTCCTAGCTTCAAGGAAGGTATCTGCTTTAATCGTTAAAGTTAACCGATTTCATTGTTTTATCAAATGTTCTGCCTATATTTCCAATGTTTATCCGCTGATTGTACATAAAATGCATTTGGGGATTAGCATGCAACTTGGCATAGAGTTTCTTTATATGATGATATTTAATTTGTGAAAGTTTACTTAAAAACACATTTTCCTGTGATTCAGAGTACAAGGACCAAAGTGCATCTCCTTGCCTAACACCAAATATTTCCTGACAATACTAGCCTACATGAATGTATGTAGATTAAACAGGCTCAGTAGAGTATGTATAGTAAGTAGTAAGAGTGGCATTTGACATGCTAAACTGACCAAACGTCAGATAGTTTATGCTTTGAAAACCCAAAGAGAGACTAAGTTGTTCGTTCAAGTTAATGCTTGTAATTAACAGTTAATCCTTTTGTTAATTTCATATGGTTTGTTTGTTACATTCAATGCTAGCTGTTACTCATATTATTTCTTAATTACTTTTCTTCCCTTTTTGTTACATTACATTTAACATGCCATCAGATTTTATTTTGGTATATACGGTATATACCCAAAAAAAATGGTGCACTTTGCATAAATCCGCAAGCGGTTTAGGCAAAAAAGTGCACAATTTATTTTCGGTATATACCGTATATACCCAAAAAAAATCTTGGTCATTTCTTAAGTATATATATGTATCTGTTAAAAAAAAAATCTATATTCCATATTTTATGGCCAAATTTTTAAAATATGAAATCTTCAGAAAGGTATTTATGAATTTGTCTTTTCTACAATTTACAGGAGATATAGACTTAGGAAAAAGTTGGTATGATCTGAAAACTGAAAAATCACAGAGACTGGATTCCTGATTATCTTTAAAACGATTTAAGTCATGAAATTTTATGTCCATGTAAGTATGCACTGACCTCAACAGCGTGTCTGTCACCACAATGGCACAAACGAAAACAGAAAATGTCAGCCACCCCATGTTACTTGACTTTAATGAAGTTTTAGGAGAACATCTTTACAGTAAGGTACTTGAATCATGTAGATGCGAGTATCTTGCTCAGAAGATCACAGGAATATTACTAGAATGTGGAAAGGAAGAAGCCTTTCATTTGTTGGAGGATAAACATTTCCTTGGGACAAGAATCCATTTGGCAAAAGAGACTTTGAAGGAAAGGTATGTTGAAACATAAGATATATGCAGGCTTTAAAACAACTGTTATCTCCATAAATGTGATAGCTGCTTCTGTTGCTGTAATTTATTTACATGTGTATATGTGAATTCATAGCCACAGTTACATCATAGTTCCACACCAAAATAAAGCAGCATGTAATATGTAGTATCAGTGTTGCCACATCAGTCAGTTACTCCTAAATGCCATTGGTTCAGTTCAGGGAAATGTAAAACAATGTATTCCATTACCAAGCTGTCAGCTATAGATGAATCTTCTTGTACACAGGTCAACAGGTATTTTGTTTTGATTGTTTTCAGGAGCATCCTGTGTTTATGTTTTTTTCAGGATACAGTACTGTACTTTTTACGATACATTTGACCTTAGAAGCACCTTACGCTTTTAAACATTGGGAAATTTGAACAATTTCAGAACCTAGCTTCCAGAAATCTTAAAAAGTAGCCTTAAGGTCATACATAAAATATTTGATGTTTCTCAGGTTACCCTACCTACCCAATTTTTAGCTCACCTGGCCCAAAGGGCCAAGTGAGCTTATGGCATGGTGCAGGGTCTGGTGTGCGTCCAGCGTCAACTTTTTACTTTAAACAACTTCTGAATAACCAAGAGGCCAAGGCTGATGATATTTGACCAGTAGCAAACTGGGATAAAGGGCTACCAAGTTTGTTCAAATGAATGACCTTGACCCACTTTCAACCTATGGTCCTTGTTCGACATTCAAGGTCACAGGTGTCATATGTTTAAATCTTTTAATAGGTTCTTATGAATCAAACACTGATATTCTGCCTGTAGCTGTATTTTAGTTCACTTTTAAGATTACAAGTGTGAGATTAATACCAGGTGAGCGATGCAGGCCCATTGGACCTCTTGTTTGTGCCTACCCTAGACTGTTTAAGGCAATTTTCAAAGAAGCACTGTTAAAGTCAAGATCACTCTCCTATATAGACCATATACAACTATTTGTTAAAATGAAACTTATTACGTAACTGGTACCCACCTACCCTAAAAAAAATCCATCATGTTACAGGAAACACATTTTTTTTTGTCTAATGGACACTATTTTACAAGTACCTTGGTAAATCAGTAAATATGGTGAAGGGATGGAACACTCAGACCTGAAAAGGGATAGGGGACACTTGTAAAGGATGGGTGTTTATTAGGTTAGATACATTCCAGAACTTTCCAATGCAAAATAGTGAGATCAGTTGAAGGTTTCAGTGAGGTTTGACAACAAAATGTGACATGTTTTCTATTAACTAGTGAGAAATTTGTGGAATATTTAAAACAGAAATAAAATTGAATTTAGGTAGGCAGGATCAGGTTCTAACCCTCCATGAATGAGGACAGGCATGTATACCTGTAATATAAGGTTTTTCTCTATTGTAGTGGATCTTATATAGTGGAAAATGAATCAGTCAAGGCACTTCCAGCTTCAGAAATTCTTCCCACTGCTGTGTCTGATAAGTTATTTGAAAAAGTCAGTCAACTGGAGCCAACACTATCTAGTCAAATCACAGGTAGGTGCTTTCTTTAATTGGTATACATGTACATTTGTAGTACATTTCTCTAACCATCATGTGTGACTTGTTACAAGCAGAAGATGTGATTTTAACAGATCTATATACAAGTTTTCCTTAAAAAAAATCAGCACTAAAATGGACAGGCCCCAGTAAAATCGCTCACCCCTACATATTTAAACTTGACTTGCCCAGTCTTTGATATGATAAGGTTCAAATGTGACTTTATGGGTGAATGGGTTAGCTCAGGAAAATCCTAAACTGATGTAGGAAAGCATTATTGGGGTAAGGAAATATCTTATGTTTCAGAGCGTTTACTTGTATTTCTTAGCAATGCTTTCTTATGGAAAATCTTAAGGAATTGCCTTAAGTTAAGGAATATTCATAAAACTGTGGCCAGTCATTATTTTCATTGATTTTAAGCCTGTACAGACAATTTTACGTGTGATAAATTTGCCATTAACATGCATGTTAAATCAGTGATATAAAACCATATACATCTTTTGTGATATTTAGATGGGAAAATGGAGTTTTATGAAAATATATAAACAAAATTAATTATATTGGCTATGTTTTTGATCTCCTTACCTAAAACTTGTATACAGGTACAGATGTGATTTTATGTATTCAGCTTGCTGCTGTTCTGAGTAGTTAAATTTTGTAATTGATCAATAAGAGAATCTATACAGGTGGAGATGTTACGGTATACATGTGTATACAGGCTTTTTATTCCTCTTGTTACTTATGTGTTTTGTCTTTTAGGTATGCTACTGGAAACAGAGTCTGTGGAAGTGGAGCTGATGCTACACAATGCCCAGTTCCTGAAGCAGGCTGTAGAGCAAGCAGTACAGTCACTGACAGCTGCGGAGGCTGAGGCAGCTGAGGAAGTATCTGATAATGACAGTGATGAGGGATCAGACTCAGAAGAGTCTGTAGGAGACCAGTTATTTGAGGCAGTGGAAAACATTTACCCAGATCCTGACATAGCTTCAAAAATTACAGGTTTGTTAAAACTTTAGTCTCGATGAACGAAAATTGATATTTAGCTTCACAACAATTAAGTTATCATACTTTTCCAATAGATATAGTCCTCCTGTTAACCTATTATTTTTTCAACTTTTTCTCATTTGCGTAGCTAGTTTTGTCATTATTAGCTCACCTGGCCCGAAAGGCCAAGTGAGCTTATGCCGTGGTGCGATGCTGTCGGCCGGCGTCAATATTTTACTTTATTAAACAACTTCTTCTTAATAACCAAAAGGCCTAGGGTGATGATATTTGGCCAGAAGCAAACTGGGATAAAGGGCTACCAAGTTTGTTGAAATAAATTACCTTCACCAATTTTCAAGGTCACAGGGGTCAAATATGTTAAAAACTTTAAACAACTTTTTCTGAATAACCAAAATGCCTAGGGTGATGATATTTGGCCAGTTGCATGCTAGGCTGAAGGGCTACCAAGTTTGTTCAAATGAATGACCTTCACCTATATTCAAGGTCACAGGGGTCAATTGTCTTAACATAAATTTAAACAACTTCTTCCGAATAACCAAAATTTGCAGGATAATGATATCTGGCATGTAACATGATGGGATGAGGGGCTACCAACTTTGTTCAAATGAATGACCTTCACTCATATTCAAGGTCACAGGGGTCAAATATGTTTTAAAACCTTGAAACAACTTCTTTTGAATAACCCAAATGCCCAGGGTGATGATATATGGCCAGTAGTATGCTGGGATGAAGGGCTACCCAGTTTGTTCAAGTGAATTACCTTCACTCATATTCAAGGTCAAAGGGGTTAAATATGTAAAAATCTTTAAACAACTTCTTCTGAATAACCAAAAATCCCAGTGTGATGATGTCTGGCCAGTAGCATGCTAGGATTAAAGGCTACCAAGTTTGTTTAAATCAATTACCCTAACCTGTATTCAAGGTCGTAGGGGTCAAATATGTTTAAAGTCTTTATACGCCTTCTTTTTGAATAACCAAAGGCTTAGGGTGATGATATTTGACCAGTAGTGTGCTTGGATGAAGGGCGACAAAGTTTGTTCAAATAAAGGATGTTCAATCATATTCAAGGTCACAAGGGTCAAATATATTTAAAATCTTTTAAACGACATCCGTTGAAAAACCATGCAGCCCAGAATGATGATATTTTGCCATTTAAACATACTTGGATGAAGGGCTACCAAGTTTGTAAAATTAATTACTTTGACCTATATTCAAGGTTACATGGGTGGGTCAAAAATGTTTGAAAGATTTAAATGGCTTCTTCTGAATAACCAAAAGTCCCAGAATGATGATATCTGGCTTATACCATGATTGGATGAAGGGCTACAAAGTTCTTTATAACCTTTACTTATATTTAAGGTCACAGGGGTGNAGGAGGTTGTGGAAAACTGTAAGTTCTCATGTTAGTTGTGATTTGATGTCCAACAGAAATTCTAAGGAGTGTTAAGGTATCGGGCATTACAATATAATTGATGTTTTGTTTTTTGTAATATATCGATTTCAGCAACACAGCTTTACATAGACATGAAAAGTGACTAAGTTGTTAGATGTGGTCTTACAAGTTGTCCATGAAGTTGTAGGGAGATTATCTCCCCTTACCAAATGTTACCTTATGTACCGAGTAGAGTTTGTTTTACATGAATTTCACAAATTTCACAATGAAAAGATTAATTATTTAATTTATTGTAAACTTTAGATATAAATTGTTCATGCATTTGTATTTCTCTTGCATTTGCTGTTGTTTTATTTACATCCAGGAGAAATCCAAATTGGTTTAAACTATTGTACAAACAGAAATGATTGTGCATAAAATCCCTTATTTAAATGAATTTCAAAATTTAAATTAGAATTGGTTAATTGCAATTTAACAATGAGTTAACTTTGTATATTATAACGCCACTACTAAAAAACAAAACCAACAATTGTATTCATAAAGATTACAACAAACCTTAGGGACTTATTAAGATATCCACTAGCCGAGTCTACTACCTTGTATCTTGAAATATGAACATAATATACATGCGTGATTGCACATTTACAATTGGGTAATGGATACAATTAGCCTGTAACCTTTTGGTGATGCTTGGGGCCAAAAAGGTAGGAATTCAGTTTGGTCTAAGGTATTGTTGAAACATAAAAGTGGTGCATAAACCCCTTCAACTATGAATTTCAAAACTCAGAAAGAACTCATCTTTGATGCTTGGGCCCAAAAAGGTGGAAATCCAAAATTGATCTCAACTTCTGTTAAAACAAAAGGGGTGATGCATAAAACCCTATAATTGTATAATTGTATAATTGTGTAAATTAAGTTTAGTAAACAGAATGGATAACACCTCCTTTCACCTTGATTGGTAATAATCACGATTTATAGATCGTGGCGGTTTAAAGATTCACAAGGACATTCACCTCTGATGTATACCATAATGGATGTTTACAAGTAGCGTAAGGGACACTCAGAATTGGCAAAAATAAACAATGCCAAAAACATTGAAGTCAAAAAATAAATAAAAGAAAAAGAAAACACGAAAATGTGACAATTGAGCTGTAAATTTAGCTGAGTAGTTTTTGCATATCATTTAGCAAGCAAATTTATATCCTGAAAGAAGCGCTACCAGCATCGTGCAATTCCTTAATTAACTGAGTTTCATAATCATTTATATTATGCATTTAAATAGTTTGATGAATAAAAAGGCCATATCAGAGAAAGGTTTGAGGGCCGTGACGTCACCATCATGGACATATGAATGCCATTTGAGTTGGGATAGAATTGGATAAATTGGTAGGGTCAATATATTTTACATTGTGTGGCAATATCACTCTATAAGCCTGTCAAATGCAGTTGACATTCATACTCATATCCACGGTCCGTTCCTTGACGACCTCTTTTGGTAGTCCATTCCACTCGCTGATGGTTCAGTAGTACAATATAAAAATCTTCTTGATGGAGCGGAGATAAACTATCTCATCCCAACAGAAAAAAATAAAGAGCAAATGGTCATATATTTGGACTAATGGTCCAGTAGAGGATATGGACGAGACCATGTTGTGCCTGTGTTGTGAAAGGCCGTGTCATTAAACTGGTCATACTGTCGTAAGGTTGACCATTGTGGTTTCTTCAGTATGCTGAGGATACTGGTGTATCTCTGGCAGATCCTAACTATCCTGACAAGTCTCATGAAGAGGACCCAGCTTTTTTTAAACAATATTTTCGATGATTGTATCCTGTTTGTTTTTCGGATAATTACCCACACAGAGGCACCGCATTGAAACCTGTTGAATCATTCCTTCTTTCATATTCGTATATAACAAAGTGTTGCATTGGTTATCATCTGACTTGACTACCAGCTGAAACCAAAGACTCAACAGTACNTTTTCGGATAAGGTCCCACACAGAGGCACTGCATTGAAACCTGTTGAATCATTCCTTCTTTCATATTCGTATATAACAAAGTGCTGCATTGGTTATCATCTGACTTGACTTCCAGCTGAAACCAAAGACTCAACAGTATGAGCTGTGATCCTCTCGTCTCCAAAAAATAGATTGTAACCAACATTTCTCTTAGATACGGCACAGGGTCATGTTACAATCACACATATGCTATAATGATATGGGTCCCAACACACATAAACATACATGTATGTTGATGTGTGTTGTGACCCATATCATTATAGCATATGTATGTTTATGTGTGTTGTGACCCATATCATTATAGCATATGTGTGATTGTAACGTGACCCTGTGGATACGGGTTGTAATCTGTATCTGTATATACTCCAAAGAATGAGTTGTGTAACATGCGGGAAAGCACCCTCCACCCTATGACCACGCTCGACATTGCTGAACTAGTGAGTGCTTCCTGCAGGTGGGGATCGGGAAAATAATACACCTGCTGTTACCGAATACATGTATCGTTGGAGGCGACTAATGTAGGGAACCCCCTGCAGAATTAGGGATTTGCTTTGGTGTCCTCTATTTGGGGACAAAAGCGACCAAAATAAATCTGCTGCACCCATTGCAATATTTGGGATCTTTATCTTTCCTTCTACTTCTAACTACCTTTTATAACCTAGCGCCTTGCTTGGCGAACCTCACTTTTGGCTTTAATGTTGAGCATTTGCCCAGGTGAGGAAGGCAATGGGTTCTGTCCTCAGGCCGGGACATACCAAAGTCCTTAAAAATGGTAGTTGTTATTCCCTGCTTAACGTTCAGCATTAAGGGGAATGGCAGCAACTGGTTCACCCGTTGTCAGTATAATGTGACTGGGTGGAATGCTTTGCTGGGTGCCTTTGGCATGGTATTTCAGTAAGATAGCACTTTAAAGTCGGCATCAGATCCGCACTATCACAAGGTGGCAAGAACACCAACATACTCTGTCTCCTGCATACAAACATGCAAGCACGCATACACTACACACACAGAGGCATGTCCTTCAATGACCTTAGCTGTTAATAGGACATTAAACAAAATTAAACCAAACCCACGGTTATACTTCATTGATGGAAACGCTAGCTTTTCCAGAGATGTGGTAACCAATAAATATAACTCTCAATACAGCTTTTCCAAAGATGTGATATAACCCTGGGAGGCGTTCACTATTTAACCATGTCGAGTTTGTCAATGACTGGATTGGTACCCACCCGCTCGTTACATTTGGTGGCAGCGGTGGGATTCGGGGATACTTTGTCAGGCCGTCTTGGTGATTATGAAAGCTTCGTTGGTACACAGGCAGAACGAACGGGATTCCCTTGTCAAAGTCTCGGGATAAGACTTTTTTCGAAAGAGGAGAATAGTTTAGCAGCCAAGGACGGTACAGCTGTAATCCGATCTATACATAGGTGTACCCAGCAAAGTATTCCGCCCAGTCACATTATACTGACAACGGTGAGGGATGTGGTCAGCTCTATCTTTAGTTCGAGAAATGGGTTGTGATATATCGTTTCAAGTGTTATGTCAGATACAGTAGATATAGGTAGGTCTTGCAGAGTAACAAGTTCAGACGGCACGCTGTCCGTTTATCAGGATGTAGGTTTGGGTAAGTTGGATGTTAGTCAGGGGTTCTCCTCTTGAAAATCGCTGTGGTATTATCTAAGAGTAACTGCGTGTGTCACAAAATGTTATCAAGAGCTGTCATTGTTATTCCTAAGTGAAAGTAGTGTAATTGTTTGATTGGATGTGAAAGCTGAGGCCATGATCTTAAATCAGCGGAAATATTTTCAATTTCTTGTCTGGTTCAAATAATAAGCGTGAGCGATGCAGCCCGCCGAATGGGTCTCTTGTATTGGATGGAAATTATGAAATTCGTTGTTTTGTTTTAGTTCTCGTTTATAACGTATGCTACCAATCAGATGTCTACGCGTGTACATGTAGGTATGAGTGTTTGCATAGACGAGTTGAAAGTAATCTATTTAATAAGTTTAATATAATATTATTAAATGTAAACACTGTAGCCTACTAGTACTCTGAAGACTTGTGGAGACACGAGACCAACGCCTTCTGTCCGCTCCGAGGGACTACATGGTAGGCAGGAAGGGCTTCTTACTCGCACCAGAAATAGAAACTTAGCCGTCTACGTGTTATTACTGCCATTGTAATGCGCATCCACTCTAAGTGTAGTCACGTAAAAAGTGAACACTGACATCTCTGATAAATAACATGTACTTTAATGATTACATTGTTAAAGAAAAACATGTGTGATATATATAATTATCAAGCACTTATTACTGATCCATCGACATTTTCTACAAGAAAGATTTTGGGCATTGTCCTAAAAATATTGTATGCTGTTTACGTGTTTAGAAGCTGGCGAGATGTCAATAAATCGCTTTAAATATACAGTTTCCCCCGTATCCGTATAACTGTACATGGTTATATACAAGTGTAAATAATAGTCACCGGAAGCAAATAAATGACAAAGGATTTGATTAGGCCAAACCCCATGATGGATCCCTATGACTATCATTTGTCAATGAAATACGTCGAATTTGATATTGAAGACAATTATGAGTATATGACGTCATGCACACGTATATGCACAAGGCAAAAGTCCACCACCATTACACCTAGAAAACTTATCCATGATAAATATGTCAATGCGTATCACATTTGGTAAATTCTTAAAAAAACCAGCAGTATTTTAAATAATAAAAATGACGAAACTAGGATGATCTTAGCCTAGGATATCTCCTTCTACATATATTGTGTATCTTTGCTTTAATGATAAGGTAACTAGCTATGGAACGAAGGAAACATATCATTGACTAACTTGGTTATCATTTAGTCTACATTGACCTTGACCACGGAATTAGATTCTCTAAGTCCGTGCCTTGACCAACGCTGAGCACAGCTGTTTGCAGATTGGTACATATTTCAACGTACAGTGAAATCCAAGAGTTCTACTTGATTTGAAGACATTTAAGTAAAAAGCAGCAATTTGGAGAAAACGTTTTTACGGTTCATCACTTGTACAGGAACACTGTATTCGGCTTTCCAAAGGCACACAAAATGAACCGGAAACGGATGTCAATGTGTTATCTCGTCTTGCGGATGGGACCCGTCACAATTACACCTGCAATACAAACAGTGTTTGTTATATTAATTGATATTGGAGAAATTAGGAACTGACGTTGACATTTAAGGGAGTTTTAAAGCAATTAAAAACTTACACCTTTACAAATTTTTTCCGTTTTAGAACTAGAAAACAAAGTTACTTGCGCCTTTACCAGTAATGGAAGCAATCAGGTAATTCGCTCATATTGTGGGTCATCAGCAGCCTGATGTGCGTTTGTTAATATGTTTATATAGGACTGATCACAGACTATACTATACCCGCTGATCAGATCTTACCTTTGCCCCTGTACACCATGGTGACTGTTGCCCCTGGAGATGTAGCCGATAGCATGGGATACACTGTTTGTCCATCAATGTCCATACCGGAAAATGCACATCCATAAAATATTCCATCGGCTCCAAATAACAACTTCCGTTCGGGGATGTCGATGTACATATAAAATCTATCCGGCAATTTATGTCGGTCACCTTTTGGATACTTTGATATTTCTTTTCCGTTGTGAACCGTTCGTGACGTCACGAGGTCAATTCCCCAAGAATCTTTGGTTTCTCCAACTAGGGCGGCACTTTTGTGAAGGTAAGTTGGTGCCATTTTGTTTGCAATCCCTACACTAGCATGATTTCCTCGCATCGACGTCGGGAAACTTATCTCAAATATATGACGGCCTTTACAAAATCCTCGACTCCACCTTATCGCAAACGTTGTCTCATGATCTGAAAGATTAGATTTCAAGGATCAGAAACAACAGATTCCACATTATTTTTCAATTAAACGTTTCCCTTGTCAGTGAACCTTGCGAGTACAACAGGACTGCTTTAACGGAAAGGGTACATACAGCTAAAGGGGGATTCAGTCTGGTGTTTCGTGTATTACGTCATCCCTTTCTTTTCACCATTGCCATTATTACACGTGTGCAAAGAACAAAAGGAGTGGTTCTCGATTAAAACAGCAGCATTGATTCAATTCAAATATTGTAATTGGAGGCAATCAGTAAACGCACAAGACGGCATTAACAAAAGTAAAAAAGACTGTTTTTTTTTTAAATCGAATGCTAGACTTTTGGAGTTTTCCTCCATGGTTTTACTTGCTTTTTGACTGGTTAACCACGGTGTTAAAGTTAATCCTCCTGAAGCCCGTTGCCTGAACCTCGAGGTGATCCTTCAGTGTTTTATCGGAACAAACTGTCGTAGACATCCAAGGGTCGGGGCTCTCGCCACCAACAGCGTCTGCAGATATAAGCGTAAGTTTCAATTTTTGTGATGAACTTTCATCATCTGACAACTGGCTAGCTACATGTGTTTAAAGGGGGACCACCAAAACAAAAGAGTAAGGGAGAGAGAGAAAAGGAAAGTTAGATATTTGCAATAGGGATTGCAGATTGATTTTGGTTCATAAAGTGTCCCCTTAGCAACGGACAAAAGGAAAACCCTGATGCTGTAGGGATACCTTTCTGTAGGAAATAGCAGATTTCTTTCCACTTAACCTACACAAGTATGACATAGGTCATATTATCACCGAGTCGAATCAGGGAAACGGTTCCCATTAAGGCAACGAAGTTCACGAATCAATATCAGACAAAATTATCACAATTGAGAACCTGAAAGATAATAATTTTTGTATTTACTCAAATCTTATGCAGTATCTTGTTAAAGATTTTAAACGGGATGGATATTATTTAACTGTTAGATTACTTACCGACACTGGGGTGCCATGTATTTGAACGTACTGCATTGCCCATTCATTCAGCGTTGGGGATATCCTCCTTGTCAACGTTCTGCCAATGTAATCATAATTTATAACGATAAGCACACGTAGGTCACTAGTTTTTGCATAAACATCGATGTCTGAGTTCACCAATCTTACTTAGAATACAATATCATATACATGCTGATAGATCACCCCTGTGCTATACTTTTTCTTTAAAGGTCGCCCTTTTTTCTCGTATCATTTCCTATGTATTAGACTGCCGTCTCACAATGTACACTAAATGTTACTGTTTCTGATAAGAAATTACTAAAAATATCTACATTTTGCACACAATGGATGGTTTCTACTGTAAACGACACGAATGTGAAGTTCTTATACCACTGCAATATTTACACTACGATGTTAATATACAAAGTACAATGGTGTTCGTTGTGGCAAGCCACCTTAACATTTATTCATGAAGCAAAGTCGATTTTGTGTTTTATATGGATTATGCATATATAGATCTTAGTATGATGTTTAAGATACGTTGAAAACAATTCATATACCTTTGATAAAGGGTCGACATTGCTATTTGAATAAACGTTATGTTGGCTCGGTGTAGTATTGCGCACACGAATGATCGATAATTAACAATACAATAGGTAGAAAGGGTGGTCACAGACAGTTAACTAACTACGTAGCCACAACACATTTATATATCCGATTAATTCACTTCACAAGCGTAATATGTAGCTAGTAGCCTACCTTTGGGTATATCTTACATTCCGTGCCTGCCATGTTTTACGCTGATATCCAGGTCGGGACACGAATACATGTGTATACCAGTAAACAGTACATAGGAAATCGACACACTATACGTGTCTAATATTAAAGCCCGCGTGTTAATTGCTGTGGATTAGGTTACCGGTGAAAGACTAGATAAAGTCACTAATATATATACATGTGTCGATAGCTCGCGCTGATTGGACCCGGTTTAAGCTTAATTAGCATTTAAAATGCAGTGCTGAAGAATGGTTCAGCTATTTATTATTGTACCAAAAACAGATTGCTTTTTGTTATTATTGACAATTCATTTCAATGAACTGTTCTGTTTTTGTAACTTAGTAAATCAAATTTGCAACTTAACATTTTGCGCTTTCAAAACATTTTTCCACTTTAATGCATGGTCCTAAGTTTCACATGTCTGAGGAAATTATGTAGCTGAAGCTAGCAATGCATTTCTTTTTTCTAGATCACGTGACCAATATCGGTTAAGCCAGACTATTTATATATATATTGGATAATGCGCCCATAGGGATTTAAAGCATGGTAAGCTTCTGTGCATGTAAATGTTGGTTAATATTTAGGGCGAACTAAAATTTGTGTTGGATAGTCCATCTTATCCGAGAAAACGTCAATGCTCGGCTATTGGATACACGCTCAGGTATATATGCATTTGAAACAGGAGATAAAGGAGCGCTAATCAAACATCGCTCACATTACTATGAAAAGCTGAGCATGGTCAGTCAACTTGATCTTTAACCCGAGCGCTAAATAACGTATTTAATATATTCATTCAAGTGTTAAGTACCCATGGACGAATTCACACAGCCCACTGTGCATCAGTCTACTTTTATTATAGGCGTGAATCGAAAAGAAAAGTAAAGAAAAGAAAATAGACAAGAACGATCTTTTGGTGACACGTCTTTCTCGTTAAACCATACGAATCCCTTCCCGCGTGCAACAGTTAGTTCGCGGGTGTAAACATATCACATTGATAACAGTACCTACAGTTACGTTTCAGCCTATAACCCCATTATGTGATGATAACTTTCATTGATATATCTACGTGTAAACCTTTAAGATTTGTAGTAAACTCAGGCATAAAGTATTCGTCATACAAGTATGAAGTCTTATTGAAGGAAATTACAATATGTAATGATACATGCTGCATGTCACATGCTCAAAACAAATCACAGCAATCACACTGAAGAGGTTCAAGTTTGATCGGAATGATCAAACCTCTTCAGATGTCTCTACAATGACATATAAATAGTGACGGTGCATGGTACCCTGACCAATGAAAACTAACTATAAACATTGATACAACCAGAGTTATGATTTATGAATTATGGTTTTCTAAAGGCAAACAACTTAGCTTTGTTGACCATTTTACATACATTATCTTGGTGTGCAATTTAAATATAACAATAAGTCAAAATTCTGAAGCAATTATTTGATCCATGGCGTAAGACCATATTTTTGCTTTATTTTCAAAATGTTCCAACTTAAGTCTTATTCTTAAGATCATGTTACATCTGTTTCATATAATATGTTTATATCATATTGTGTTGTGCTTGTAAAGTACAGGGGTCAGACAAAGGGTTAGCGATTGAAATATATTTTATTTTACACTGTTACACTTTATCTGCCTCACAATTTTTAAACACTTTTACAAATTTGACTTTGTTTGTGGCTTCAATGATTCTGTACCAAACTTGATCGTAGCAACAGCAGCACATTTTGACGTCGAATGGTTATGTATCGAAAAATGTATTATTTGGAAGTTGGTTTCATCTTGCCACGTGTAAACAGTCAATATATCGCAGGCGCGAGATTCACCGAGGTGTATAATATCTGACTCCAGTACCGGGTACCACAGTATGTCGGACGTGAAATGGCTGTAATACCCGGAAAGTGTCGCTTCTGTGGCACTCTCCAGACAGAATTTGATGTATTCTGTGTGGTTGACGTGGTCGTTGAAATCCGTGTCACTGTATCTAGTTTTGACCTCCATGTGGAAACATTCTTAAGGAACGTTTTGATATTCTCGTTTAGTTTTGATACCATTTTTCAAAAAGTCCAAATTTGTATCTGTAATTGATGTATACTTGTCTTCGAACCATTCTGGCAGTGGTGTCGGGCGTCTGGAGTCAATACTAGTGTGGACGAGAGTAGTTGTGCATCTGACAAGCTCCATTTTTGTGTCTGCGCATGACAGGATGTATAAATTGGTCATAGAAGTGCGTCCTACCGCAGCTGCTCTACTCGTTACAAGGAGATCGGATGAAGATAAATGTGCAATGTCGCGGTAAAGATGAGTTGACAGTCTCAGACTCTGACCGACCATGAAAACACTCGTAGACTCATCATCAAGATTAGTACGATCAAAATACCCTTTTCGACACGCCAAGAACACCGCATTCATGAAGAATCTCTCAATAGACCATATTCCAAAATGCCCTGGAAAAAAGAAATGCTGTCAGTCGCTCAAATATAAGTAATCTGGTGATACAGTCTGCTATAATATTTAATTTGTAACAAACTTTTTATTTCACTTGTAATATGTCATAATACAACCATTCTGGGGGGGTGTAAATGATCCCCATCACTATAAGACAACAACAAGGATATGTAAACATCGGTTATGTTACGGTATACGACTATTGTACCTGTTCGGTCGATGTAAGCAGAGGGAATCCCCCGGAACAATATCAACCCGCCGTGGGAGGACATGGATATGATCTTGTACCGAGGTGTCTCATGGGCATTGCTGTGGAAATGACATAATAGTCAGGATGAAGATCTTATATAAAGGCAACGCCATTTCTGATGCCGCAATCAATTTAAAACACCTTTTCACATTGTGCACTCTTTAAAAACTTACTCAACAAGTAACTATGTCGTTTGTAAAAACGTTGACAACCACATAGCTAGACAACTTCTATTAATTGGAAAAACTAGGTATGGATATTAAATTGCCAGAATTCATTAACGAAAAAAAAGGGATCAAGGTTTTCAAATTAATTTTCAAATTCCAAATAAAAAATCCAATAAGAAGGAAGTGGGAGTTTCTGTTTTTAATTTCAGAATTTCTGGGTTTTCCGATATTCACCATTAAAATAAAACATCATCCATTAAAATAGGCCATCAACCATCAAACGTCCACCACCATCCTTTCTTATCGACCATCAATCATGGTAATTAGACAACATCCATACGAACATTATCCACTGGTTTAGATGACCAAACATTAGTTTACACGAATATCAATTATTATTATACACCATCCATTGGTATAGACTCCCTTCCATTTGTAAAGGTCTTCATTCGTTAGACCAGTATACATAAAAGAAGACCATCATCCATTAGACTTAACCATCATAAATCAATACGGACAACGACCCATTAGTAAAGATCATTATCCAGTGGTATCAAACACCATCCATTAGTATTATTCACCATCAATTAGTATTAAACATCATCCATTAGTATTATACACCATCAGTTAGTATTATATACCATCCATTATAATTATACACCATCCATTAGTATCATACACCATCCAATATAATTATACACCATTCATTAGTATTATACACCATCCGTTAGTATTACACACCATCCATTAGTATCATACACAATCCGTTAGCTTTATATACCATCCATTATAATTATACACCACCCATTAGTATCATACACCATCCATTAGTATCATATACCATCAATTAGTATTATACACCATCCGTTAGTATTATACCCCATTAATTAGTATTATACACAATCCATTAGTATTATATACCATCAATTAGTATTATACAGCATCAATTAGTATTACACACCATCCATTAGTATTATTCACCATCAATTAGTATTATACAGCATCAATTAGTATTATACACCATCCATTAGTATTATTCACCATCCATTAGTATTATACAGCATCAATTAGTATTATACAGCATCAATTAGTATAATACAGCATCAATTAGTATTATTCACCATCCATTAGTATTATACAGCATCAATTAGTATTATACAGCATCAATTAGTATTATTCACCATCCATTAGTATTATATACCATCAATTAGTATTATACAGCATCAATTAGTATTACACACCATCCATTAGTATTATTCACCATCAATTAGTATTATACAGCATCAATTAGTATTATACACCATCCATTAGTATTATTCACCATCCATTAGTATTATACAGCATCAATTAGTATTATACAGCATCAATTAGTATAATACAGCATCAATTAGTATTATTCACCATCCATTAGTATTATACAGCATCAATTAGTATTATACAGCATCAATTAGTATTATTCACCATCCATTAGTATTATATACCATCAATTAGTATTATACAGCATCAATTAGTATTACACACCATCCATTAGTATTATTCACCATCAATTAGTATTATACAGCATCAATTAGTATTATACACCATCCATTAGTATTATTCACCATCCATTAGTATTATACAGCATCAATTAGTATTATACAGCATCAATTAGTATAATACAGCATCAATTAGTATTATTCACCATCCATTAGTATTATACAGCATCAATTAGTATTATACAGCATCAATTAGTATTATTCACCATCCATTAGTATTATATACCATCAATTAGTATTATACAGCATCAATTAGTATTATTCACATCCATTAGTATTATACAGCATCAGTTAGTATTATACATCATCCATTAGTATTATCCACCAGCCATTAGTATTATACACCACCCATTATTATTATTCACCACCCATTATTATTATTCACCAGCAATTAGTATTATACAGCATCAATTAGTATTATACACCATCCATTAGTATTATTCAACATCCATAAGTATTATACAACATGAATTAGTATTATACACCACCCATTATTATTATACACCATCCATTAGTATTATACAACATCCATTAGTATTATTCCCCATCCATTAGTATTATTCACCAGCCATTAGTATTATTCACCACCCGTTATTATTATTCACCACCCATTATTATTATTCACCAGCAATTAGTATTATACAGCATCAATTAGTATTACACACCATCCATTAGTATTATTCACCAGCCATTAGTATTATTCACCAGCCATTAGTATTATACACCAACCAGTATCATTAGTAGTATCATTCACCGTCTATTTCATTTCAACAAATTTTATTGACAAAGTTGATACAAGTCAATTGGATGGAATAACAGGCAAAGCCTATATAAATTCTCTCCAGCGGTGGCTTAATTAACGGATTCTATTATTTTTATTTGATTTAATTGATACATTAATTTTGAAATGAAAATTATATATAAAAAAAAGGATGTAACTCCTTCTAAATTAACATAGCTGAAATACAAATACATTCACACTTCTCACATCACACACAAAACACTTCCACAGGTATTATTTATTTTTATAATATTTTACAATGTATATAAGCTATATAGCTATCAAATCACACAGATATTGGCAGACATATGCACAGGTCACAGTCGCAAAAACTGTTAAGTTATTATAATTTTATATGCAAACAGATAGCTAGTCTATGTGTAATTCAATGTATAAGATAGAAACTGTAAAACAAGACAGATTGAACAAATCTTACAACAAACAACAACAAACATACATGCTGGACTTAAAACTCCTATGTCCGTAGAAGAATACCATTTATAGAAAAGTAGGTAAAGTTACTTAATTGTGGAGTATAATTGAAATATGAATAGTAAAGTATAAAAGTATAAAGTATAAGGTCATGGCTGGTTAGATCATATAGAGTTTCAAACGCCTCGATTTCCCAATAAATAACTGTACATCATTAAGTAACTGTCTGTTAGATAGTCCATAACAATCAGGACAGTCTTGTAGAAAAAATGTGTGTATCAATATGGTTATGATTTCCATAATTATCAACAGAAGTAAATAAAGTAAGTCTGAGATCAATATACAATGGACATTCAAGAAAATAATGGAAAACTGTTTCATATTCAAAAGAGCAAGCACAAGAGGGACAGTCAGTTAAATGGTCATTGAATTAGTCAAAATTTAAATTGCTACAGAAGTTTCTAAGTTGACAAAGAATAATATTGGCCCATTTATCACCTTCAGTTTTAAAAATTAAGGTTGATTCATTTCGATAATATTTTCTTTATTCAGTTTGTGTTTAAAGGTTGCAAGAGTTGCGGAGTTTAAGAGATCATTATCAGTAGTGTTAGTTGTGCGGCACATTAGAGGGAGGAAACTGTCAAAATAATTGTTAGTTCTGCATATTGGTGGATTAAACAGTCTTGTTTGTCTGAGGAAATAGGGATTATTGTTTTGATTGTTAATGAAAGGATTTAAGACATCTTGTAAGTATTGAGGTGACAGCCCATGCATTATTTTATACATCATTATGTGTTTGTGTTTATTTCTTCTTGTTGACAGAGTTTCCCAACCAAGTTCATTATAAAGTTTATTATGAGATGTTCCAGATCGAAGTCCAGTAATGATTCTGGCTGCTTCTAATTGAATAGATTCTAGAAGTTCTTTAGATTGTTGAGTGCAATTATCCCATACTATGTCTGCATATTCAAAAATTGGCCTAATAAATGCTATATAAATTTTAATTAATGATTTACGATTGACTTTAGTTTTAATGTAACGAAGAATATTTAATCTGCTTTAAGCTTTTTCATATATATATTCAGAATGTGTTGTTTCCAAGATGCATCATCATTTAAAGTCAGTCCGAAGTGTGTATGTGCTGTTGAGTCAGTGACTTGGCTGTTTTGGAAAGTTATTGGAGGGTGATGTTTGTTATGTTTTCTAGAAAATATTACAGATTTAGTTTTGTTAGGGTTGAATTTGATGTCCATATACCTGCCCATTCACCATCCATTAGTATTATTCACCAGCCATTAGTATTATACACCACCCATTATTATTATTCACCAGTCATTAGTATTATTCACCATCCATTAGTATTATACACCACCCATTATTATCATTCACCAGCCATTAGTATTATTCACCATCCATTAGTATTATACACCAACCATTAGTATTATTCATTTGTTATGTTTTCTATACACCATCCATTAGTATTATACACCAACCATTAGTATTTTACACCAACCATTAGTATTATTCACCATCCATTAGTATTATACACCACCCATTATTATTATTCACCAGCCATTAGTATTATACACCAACCATTAGTATTTTACACCAACCATTAGTATTATTCACCATCCATTATTATTATATGCATGAACATTTCTCGCAATCACATTGGTCGGATCCTATACACGTGATCAGTCATCAAAAACTCATGTAGACTGGTTATCCGGTGAATATCGATTTCTAAATATAGCCTGTATGGAAATTCCCCCGAACCTGTCGTAGGGCATGCGCAGTAAGACTGGAACGCGATTGGTCAGACGACATTAGAAGATGGCTGCTGGCGAACGTTTCTCCTCCGTTACATCAGAAAATTACCAAAACTATTCGAGGATAAAGATGCTGTTAACTTAAAAAAAGGCCATTGAACAAGCAGTGCATGTCTTTCATGCTTATCTCAAGAAAAATAATCTAGACGATACCTTCGAAAGCTACAATGATGAACTGTTGTATTCAAACCTGGCTAAATTTTACACGGAGGCTCGCGTACAAAAACAGAACCTTTAGTTTTGTTTTGTTTTATTTTATTGTTGTAGCATATAATAAAACAGTTATGGGCTTTTGTGCTGGTAAATCATATTCACCAGCACAAAAGTCCATAATTGTATAGTATTATACACCACCTATTAGTATTATTCACCATCCATTAGTATTATTCACCAGCCATTAGTATTATTCACCACCCATTAGTATTATACACCATCCATTAGTATTATACACCACCCATTATTATTATTCACCAGCCATTAGTATTATTCACCATCCATTAGTATTATTCACCATCCATTAGTATTATTCACCAGCCGTTAGTATTATTCACCATCCATTAGTATTATTCACCATCCATTAGTATTATCCCCCAGCCATTAGTATTATTCCCCATCCATTAGTATTATTCCCCAGCCATTAGTATTATTCGCCACCCATTAGTATTATACACCATCCATTAGTATTATACACCACCCATTATTATTATTCACCACCCATTATTATTATTCACCAGTCATTAGTATTATACACCATCCATTAGTATTATTCACAATCCATTAGTATTATACACCATCCATTATTATTATTCACCATCCATTAGTATTATACACCACCCATTATTATTATACACCAGCCATTAGTATTAATCACCATCCATAAGTATCATACACCATCCGTTATTATTATTCACCAGCCATTAGTATTATACACCATCCATTAGTATTATATACCATCAAATAGTATTATTCACCATTTGTTAGCATAGACCATCATTCATAGACCATTATTATTATTCACCATCCATTTGTATTATACACCATTCGTTAGCTATATATTTTTATTATAATTCGTGGATACCATCCGTTAGTATAGACTATCATCCATTCATATAGATTACGGGTTTACAGTTATCTTCTAGGGCGTAATGTTATACTTTTTATTCGGGTTATTAGTCCGTTTTTGATGTAATTTTTTAACGAAGTTATTGGTACTTTATACTGCAGTATACTTACCTTCCTTGATATCTTGACCAAGGGACTGGCGACTTCATCCTCCCTCCAAATTACTAGTTATCTAGGCAAAGTACTGCATATTGTCCCATATATCGACCCCGTCTAGTTATCGTCTCACAGGGGACGTTCATACACGATCACAACATAATGCATACCGTAATTAACCATAAAAATACTAGTAAATCTGTCAATAGATCCCATCCCAACACCGCCTTATGTCTTGTAACAACACCGGATTTGAATGCAAATTCTGAGACATGCTAGATTCAGAATATAATGTTTCATTCGCTAAAAATATGTTGAACCCTAAAATAGGTGAATCAAATGTCTGGTATATAATGATTAACATGTTAATCAACATGACTAGTAAATAAATCATGAATTTTACATCTTATTTTTGATAATGGCGTCATATACCCCTTTCACGACAATCTATGGGTGTTGATCAGGTTGTCTCGATTTATGTGATCACATTTATAGTCCAATAATCCAAAAACTTCGAACGGTTTTGTAGACGAAATTGACATTTTGTTTTAATATCTTAATGCACACAGTAGAATAAACTGCCCAACAATATCACATTAACAGCTGGAAGTCAGCGTTGGCACTTATTTTTTAAATTAGTGACCCCTGTCCGTAATCTGTTAAGTTGTTACTACAATTAGTCACTTTCCTGTTCGGTCCGAGCTGTTCACAAAGTCCATAGATCATACAGTCAGTTGCTCTTGCCTTTTTCAATTTCCCACTGATGATGGCGAAGCATAGATTAAACACCTCATACATCATGACTTTGGTAGTTGTTGAAACGAGTTAATCTGCTATCCGATCAGTATATTAAGTTAGAGAGTTTGTTTGTGTAGATAACAGAAGACCTTGACGCTAGCAATGTTAGTTCTAGCCAGAGCTGCTTCCGGTCCGTAAAGAAGTCCTTTATCAAGTAAAGAAGTGATACCATATCTATAATCATTAATTTTGGTAAGAAGACTGTTGTATGGGACCTTGTTGAATGTCTACGGACGTCTTACAGTATTTATCCATGTATTTGCTTGAAGACGTTGTTTAAGCTAGGTCTGGAACAGAAATGGCTGGTTTGGTTTCGAATGATCTACATGTACGCTTAGGAAAATCATGTAAAAAGTCGAGATGTGACATCGTGCTGCTGCATTTTTTTTTGAATTTATTGATGAAAAAGTTTTTTTTAATTTTTACAATTTGTTTTTATTGTGAAGACACATTCAGGGAAACTGTAATAAAAAAAACACACCATTTAATTCGTTGCAGAATACATTACAATGATGTTAAAGTACCAGTTCACAATCAGTATCAAGAGAGGTTTGCGTATATTTTAAGGCATTAGCGTGGAGCCTCAGAAAATATTGATAGCATAGTCATTCGGCTGACCGTACCTGTTTCTATGTATACGTAAGCGGAGGGAATCCCTCGGAACAATGTCAACCCGCCGTGAGAGGACTCGATATCATCTTGTACTGAGGTGGCTCCTTGGCGTTGCTGAAAGGAACAATGTTACGGTGAGATATATAACCTAGGCAGACCCTCATCTTGTAGAATAAACCATCATCAATTGTTATAAACTACTATCCATCGGTATAAACTACCATCCATCGGTATAAACTACTATCCATCGGAATAAACGACCATCCATTCGCACGAACTACCATCCATTGGTATAAACTACTGGTACTTTATACCAATGGATGGTGGGATGGTAGTTCCATCCATTCATATACATCACCATTTATTCGTTTAAACTACCATTCTACCATCCATTTGTATAAACTACCATTCTACCATCCATTGGTATAAACTACCATCCTACCATCCATTTGTATAAACTACCATCCATTCGTTTAAGCTACCATCCTACCATCAATTTATATAAAATATCATATTACCATCCATTCGTATAAACTACCAATTATTCGTTTAAACTATCATCCTACCATTCATTGGTATAAACTTCAATCCATTGATATAAACTACCATCTTACCATCCATTCGTATAAACTACCATCCATTCATTTTAACTACCATCCTACAATCTATTGGTATATACTACCATCCTACCATCCATTGGTATAAACTACCATCCTACCATCAATTGATATAACCTACCACCCTACCATCCATTGGTATAAACTAACATCCTACAATCCATTCGTATAAATTACCATCCATTCGTTTTAGCTACCATCCTACAATCTACTGGTATATACTACCAACCTACCATCCATTGGTAAAAACTACCATCAATTCGTTTATGCTACCTTGGTATAAACTTTCGTTTATATTACGGGTAAACAAACATCATTGTCGTTACATGCCGCGAGTGTTACAGATTAATTTGATTTGTATAATTCAGATAAGTAGTTCGTCTATCGTATGAATATGAACATGTCAAATCAATATTGTTAAAAAGCTGTTATTTCTACAGTTTACCCTCCTTGATTTCTTTCCCTGGGAACTTTCGAACTCATCCTTCTTCGGATGTTTTGTTGTATGTCGTCCTATATTTCGACCCGGTTTTGTTATCAAACATAATAACACTTACCGTAATTCACCATAAGAAATACTGATAAATTTGTCCACAGGTCTCTTACGACAGGTCTGTATATATTTTACTACACCAGAATTCTGTGTAATAGGTGCTACTTTATTCCTTAATGTGCCTGCCACTGATTCGTTTAAATACACAACAGGATCATACTGTAATGCAGGTTGAAGTAGTAGGAAGGTGGTTGGCATTACTTGCTTGTGTTGTGTTGTTCTGTACAACTGCTGTTAGGATGTGTGAACAGTAAAGTCCTACCCAGTTTTGTGGTCCTCATAGAACCGACGTTACTCTTGACGTTGCCGTTTTCCCTCAAGTTCTGTAATGGTTAATATGGCACACACCTGTCTGACGACGCCGAAACACATTCACCTCATAATTTAAAACACTAACTTTCCTCATTTCTCGGTACCTGCTGACCTATCGGAAGACAGGCAAAAATGAAATAACCGTCACTAAGTTAGATATCTTGCCACGGTCGTCCCGGTCGTTTGGTGGTCCGTTTTATATGACTACCTGGCCATGTTGGAAAACCTGTAATTTTCTGAGACTGGTCATCTTGAACTGTGAAAACCACATCTCCTCCTGGGACAACTCCCAATACACGAACATTGCATGTGGCAATAGCTCTTCCATGGCGTCTTCAATTTTTCCATTGGTTTGTGAATGGCAGGTGATGCTGAACGGTTCTTGTGTCATTGTTGATGTGAAAATTTTACATTATTATCAGTTGGGACCACACAAAGCACTCCGATTATATTGAATAGCTCCGACATGATTTCTGTCACTGTAGCCAACGTTCTTGAACGCGAAATATTACGGGCGTTGTGTTGCATCGTCCATTGATGTCAAAATAAAATCTGTTCCTTTTCTTTGTTCTATATAATACTCAAACAACATTCACGGGTATTTTGATTTAAGTTTTACCTGGAACAGCTGTTTTACGAGTATTGCTAGTACCTCCACTTATCTCCATGCTCTTTTGTGACATAAATTCCTATTCAAGCTGACTAGCCATCCATCTCAGAAAGTTCACCTGTTCAGTTTTCCTAATTTTACTATTTGTGTTAACACCTCTTCCATGGTAGGAATCGGTGTCACTGATGTGGCTATTATCCCCAGCTATTAACGTCATCAGTACCCAGGTTGTCGCTGATATCCTGTCTTACGCTCAATGTCACCATTATTTCTAACTTTCACAATACCCATCTCTGTGTTTTATTCGCAGATTTTGATGTCCTCCACCAGCACGGCCTCTGTGATCAGATCGGGCACTTGTCCTTAAATATGTCTAATATTAGGATTTTTAAATTGCAACAACGACTCGACTGAGAATATCTAACCACTCCTGTATACACCACTGGCTCCTATTCCGTCTTTGCGTATTGCAGAGTTATCTGCTCTTGTGAGCAGGTATTGAATGTTACGTCATTTTTTGGTATATNTATCTGCTCTTGTGAGCAGGTATTGATTGTTACGTCATTTTTTTGTATATATTTTTGAGAAAACGACGTAATATTCTCACAGNTGGCTCCTATTCCGTCTTTGCGTATTGCAGAGTTATCTGCTCTTGTGAGCAGGTATTGAATGTTACGTCATTTTTTGGTATATCTTTTGAGAAAACGACGTAATTTTCTCACACAAACCAATGACGTACCAATCGATAGCTGCTCACAAGAGAAGATAACTCTGCAATACGCAAAGACGAAATACTCAACTGTGCTCAAATAATTGTTCCCTATTCAAAGTTATAGTTACTTGTGTCCTTCCCAAAACAGATGTCATCGTCGTTAACGTCCCTAGCAACATTAATAAGTACTCCTCTCTATTGTTTAACAAAAATGATTTCCTTTCTGGGCATGTTTAAGCAAAATGAGGATACAAATGTTGCAATACGGTACATTTGTCATTTGTTCCTAATATATTCCTGATATATGTCTTTCTGTGAACTTTTTTCACATAACGATATTTAAACGGATCCTTTCAGAGTCTCCACAATACCACTCGGCCCTTTGTTTCGATGTTACGAAATGCTAAGAATATTAGCTGTGTTTACCACGCTGATAGCATCAATAGAAATGACAAGACAACTGTTCACTCTTCACCTTGAGTACTCCCTGTATCTCTTGTGTTTTATTTCTTGGTATTTGACTTACTGAATAACCAAAAGACCTACAATGATAATATTGCCAAGCACCATGCTGGGATGACGTAATATAAAGTTTGTGCGAACAAAAGACCTTGACCAACTTTCAAAGTCACAGAGGGTGAAATTTGTTTAAGTATTTAAGCGACTTCTTCTGAATAGTCAAGAAACCAGGTTATGATATTTGTCCAGTAGCCAACTGCTATAGAGGGCTATTAAAGGGGTTAACATATGACCATATTTAAAGGTCAAAGGGTTCAATTTGTTAACATGTTGATAATATTTCAAAAATGTAGTAGTATGCTGCGATTAAATACATTGATTTACTTTCAATGTCATTATATGTTTTAAAATTTTCAAACGAATTCTTATAAAGGTCCATAAGGGTAGATATAATAATGGCATTTGGATTGGGCTTGCTGCTTTGAATGGCTATGCAGGTAGGTCAGAAAAGTAAACTTCAAACAACACATTCTAAATGCCCTTAGGTCCTAGATCAAAACCATTTGACATGTAGCTTGCCGAGGAAACATATTTCAAATTTCAAAACTGTTTGAATAAATCATATTGTCCAACTGAAAAGTTCGCATGAGAAATCGAGTTATGATTTTCGAATAAAGATCTATACTGTGGAGGATAAGAATACTATCCTAAAGTGTTACCTTGATTGCTATTAAGCTCGTTTTGATAAATTTGATATTGAACCACTTTTAAGTCTGGGTTTGCAAACAACATTGGATAACAAAATGTTAGAGATACGGGCTCGTTGAGCCTTTTTTGTTACCATTATGCTTCTAGTTCAAATATATTTGACTCAGTCTAAGAAGGTCTCGCTAAGTCTTCTCGAACATCCAATCACTTTTCTGCAGGTTTTATGGGTGTATGGTGTCTTAATAATGGTGATGCAATTAAACTCCAGTCAAAACAATTATCGCAAATCTATGTAGATCATCCATCCGAAATGCTAATATCAACAAAGCTGCTATAGATAATGCATATTTTCTAAACGAGTCCTTTTTTCCTTGGTTTGTACCCTTGATATATATCCTATATTACAGTGATATTTGTCTTTTGCAAAATAAAGCTTAACGAGAAGATTGCACGCGAGTTTGTGGACTTTATGTCTTTTACAACATATCACATGCTATAATGTCTGTGAATTGTCAGCGAGAACAAACTAACAAATTTGGACAGAAATCACTCATCTTTTAACCAGACAATAAAATGGGGGGTGCTGACCAATAGAATCTCCCCTATCGTGAAGGTATTATCTCAGCCTGCAAGATTCTCTCCCTCATCATATCAATAATAGGTTGGTAAACTGTTTTCTTTCCTGTTTTTCACATATTATCTCCGGTCAAAAACTTATTGTTAAGTCATACCATATTACTCCCGAGACATTATCTTACTATTATCTTTTAAGATGGTTGACGTCACGTCATTGTACTGGTTATCAACCAATTGCTAACATTGCTCCAAATCCTTGTCTTCAAAAAAACCGCTATGTGTTTTTGTAGTGTTGCTTAATTCAAATTTTTGGATGCAAGCTTTATCTAAAATTTCAGATCGGTCTTTGCATTTTTCAATTGTTTTGTTATATATCCTTTCTTTGGTGAAACATTTAAAAAGTACTAAAACAATTTTGATATTTCATGTTGAAATAAGCGAGGAAAACTACGTCTGACCTACTATAATCCCTTGCGCTGGAACGTATATACGTCGATGTTCCTTAATGTATTTTTAAGAAATAGAAATCAATTTAATTAAATAACATAAAACGAATCATCTGTTGAAAGTTAAATACATTTGAGTACCTTTATGAACACGATTAGAACGGACACATGTTCAATAATATTTTAGCAATTGTCCACTGACACAACCGATTATCCCCCTTCCTCAGATTTTTCGTTCAGTCGTCGTCATCCTCCCCCTCCTCGTCACCGCCCACCTCATCGTCCATCTCCTTCTCCTGTAACGCTGCCCTGAACGCTGCTTCCTCTTCCGGTGTAGGATCGTCTGCCTCCGTCACTTCCGGTCCGCTAGGGAATTCTGTCATTGCATCGGATGGAATGGTAGGATCATACTCAGCTGAAAGCTTTTTTAATCCCCATCCCACGTATAACGTCTCAAAATATCTGTATTAAAACAAAATAAAGTTTGGTTCCAATGGAAGATTTCGAAAACCTAAAGGTATAAAAGGAAAGTGTCAAAAATGCTGGTCGTCATGTTGGCTTTTATGGTACGAAATTGACATCATGATCGTATTTGTTACAAAGATTAATTTTGTTTTCATAAAACTCAAAAATCAAACAAAGCTATATTTCAAATGAAAACCTTTTGAGCAGTCCCAGAAATCAAAATTATCCTCATGAAAACTTAAAAAGATGTTTACGTTTTCTGTTTTTCCAGTTTTTAAAAAGGCCTGTTTGTTTCATTGCCGTTCAAATGATTTTAGGACATTTTATTTTCTTTTGATTAAAACCGTTCGCAAGGATGTCACTTTGTTTTCACACAATTATAAATTTGTGCATCATACTATTATCCTTCCAGCTATTTCATCTATTGTCTTTCTTAAAATTCCAAAACACAAATCAGCAATAAAATCGAAAAAACACGGAAAAATGTATTGATCGATCGTTCACTTGTCCTCGTCTGTCCCTCGTTTACTTGCCCCATTTTTTATATATATTTACCCCTCTGGACTCCTTGTCGGTCCCATATTTACCCCTCAAGCAACCTTGTCGGTTCCATACTTACCTGCCCCTATCGGCTCCGAACGTGACAGCCCCCGGCCAAGTGTTGGACTGCAGCATGGCAATAGAGTACTCGGGTACCAGCTTGGAGGAATGACGGACAACCCATGCCGGACTGTCGCCTATATCTGTCCATGAAACAAATGAGAGTTATCGCGCTTCGATCTGAAACCAACCTCTAGGATAGAAAGGCTAATACTCCGAAGAGAACTTGACAGCAAGCAGCTCCATCCCTGTTCATTTTATTCAGACTCTCTCTCTCCTTTTGAAATGAGAAAGATGGATGATGATGCGCTTTTCAGCGTTATAAGCTGTATGCCACTGAATGAACATGAAGAATAAATCTATAATCATAACAAGAGATCAGAGAGATAAACATGAATCGGGCAACTCTATCAAAGTTTCTGGATTCACTCTTGATATTTAAGCTGCTTAAGAAACCACTTGTTAACACGGAACCACAAACAACATCAAATACTTCAGGTCACTTACATCCTTAATCTACTGGTATTTTAAAAACGCACAGAAAGAAGTTATACTCACTCTGATCTTCCGATAACGGTGACAACAATGGCGGACCAACTTCCGGTGTCGGTTCGTCCGGTTCCTCTCTGTCTTCTACCTCGCTCTCCTCCATCTCCCCCTCTACACGGGCCAGTACAGAGTTGTACCACGTGTTCCGTCCCTGTACACGGTTGTAATTGGTTGATAATAATGTCAGTGATTCGAATGATTAAATAACGTTTCATAAAGATAGATGTTTTAAGGTTGAAGAAGAAAAGCAGGGTAAAAGCATAAGTCCCCGGACCCCAGACGTCCTTTTCTTGGATTTAACAACACGACCATGAATGCTTTAACCTGTTTGTGACGTCATAATGAGAAATGGACGCTCACCTGTGGTAATATAGACTGTACGTGGTGGCACCATGACTGTAGGGTAGGGTCTACTAGTTCCCGGAGAGGCAGTCCATCATACTCTGTGTCAATCACACACGAACTACGCCCAGCCGCTAAAACCCATGATATGTAACGTCAGAACAGTATTAACTGCAGCATTATTTGACGACAACTTCGCGAAAAGTCGTCAATAAATTGATGTGGAAATTGTTATGCCCAGTTTTCTGGAACAAACAAGGACCCCATGTTTTCAAGAACACTAGGACTTATTTTTACGTCATTTTATTATTCCAGTGACGTCATCTTAATATTATCTTTAAAGATGCTAAGTCGTCACGTCATTGTACTTATCATCAACCAGTTGCTGACATTGCTTGAAATCCTTGCCCTGGAAAAAAAACATTGGCAAAGGTAAACGTCCCACCAGCTGATAGGGATGATGCCATTTAGCTGTTGATAGCCTTCATGTGACATTCGACGACCTTGTTTCAAAGAGAAACTAACACGCTCCAACCCTTAACCAAATGTTCAACAATTCTGGACACTCGCGAGGACGCTGTACTTCCGTAAACTGTTAGAATGTGATACATCTCTGACATGTGTATAACTTAGCTGAGATATAGTACATCACAACACAACACAAACTTTCGATGAAATTTTGGTATGTCGTGATAGCTATGTTGGACAATGAGTCTAATCAAGCTACTGACTTATCAACGAAAATAGGGTTACCTCCCCGGATATTAATCGGCAATTTTCACAAGGGAATAGTTTACGTGCAGTAAGCCGAAAAGATGCTAGATTGCATGTAGTCCCCCTCACGATGATATGTGTGATTAAGTCAGAATGATAAATGTCTTTTAACTATGTAATAGAATCGAAAAATCAATCTGGTGTTCGGCAGGTGAATCTCGTTTAATAACTTTATCACCAATACTTTAATTAAAATATTGAGCGATTAAATGCTTCTCGTTTTTGTTTGTTTCTATTTCCTGCGTCAGTTATTATAAACATCATGTCCGAAAGCTTGACCCAATAGTCTATACATTTAGTTGTTTACATCTTTATAGTAGGGTTCGCTTTAAGATTTATGGGCGATGTCAGTGAAACTCTATTGTTTGAAGTGATTGTTTGAAGTGATTCCTTACCCGCCTCCTCCGCCTCCTCCTCTTCCTCTTGGTCGTCAAATCGGAAATAACCAATAGGAGACACGCTTGTTGCCGCACCTATCCGAGCAATCTGTGCGCGCAGGTAGTTTCTTTCGACTCCTGGGAATGGTGGATAGGCTATGATCTATGTACAAAGAGAGAGCATATATCAATACAACAAGCACACTACCTGCTTTTCCACGATTCAATTTCAATAAATTTTATTGTCAAAGGACAAATGGATCGGGCAGCAGGCATAGCCTATTTAAGCCCTTTCCAAACATAGTAACAGACAGTGATACAAGCATAGTCTTAGACATTAGAGCACACACAAACACATATAAACAAGTTGATATTATCAAATTAATAATCAAATAAGGGGAACCAACTACTAATACTGATTTTTATTATGATTTAATCTAATGGTTTAAATTCTAACCTTTTATTTTGATATTGAAAAGACATAATATATATACATATATGGGGCAAAGAAGTAATTCCAACAGTGTAGACAAGTTTAGGTTGTCAAATTTTCGGAGCGATCCGCTCCTTTTTCAAGACACAGTGAAACAGAACAGTTACATGTACATATACATCATATTACAAGAAGATAGAATTGATATACTATAATTGAAAATATAGCTATTATATAAAACCAATAGTCCCCTCGGCTAAAGACAGCCGAAGGCAGCAATTAAGCTGAGAGCATCGCGGACAAGGAACGCTGATGTAGAGGACCTATTCTTGCGCAAGATGCACTGTCATATAAAGTGAGTCAACGAGAGATATCAAAAACGTGGAACATGTGCATGTGGAAATCTGGCCCGGTAAATGTGAAAAATCTCCAAT